TAATGACTGTGTGGCTTTATATAATTTCTGTATAGAAATTGGAAACCAAGGAAATTAAAAACATATTGAATTCTAGGTGGTCTTGCGGTCATGTACATTCAGCTGCATAAAATGCAAATTCATGTTAAGATGCTTTCTACAATTAATAACGTGGCTATATATAACTTCTGTCGGCTTTAGCATTGGTGTCGTACGTTCAACAAATAATAGAAGAAAAATTTCTGAAGTAGTCTTATCTAACAATCTTTGTACACAAGTTGCTCGTTGTATTGAAAGCCTAGATGTGCTTACAGTACGAACTTAAATTTCACACAACCATGGACATTGAAATGGTTGGCGATGATCTTGATGGAGAAGACAGATAGGGCTTGGGAGGAACTAGCAAGCAGTCAACCCTGCCTCTTAGCATATCCACCACCTCGCTCATTGTTGGCCTAATTGAAGGATTAGTCTGTATGCACCACAAGCTCACTATTATCATCTTCCTAGCTTTCTCTCTGTCCCCTTCACTTGTGAGATTCTGCAGTCCAAACTCCTCTTGAAGTTCAAGACGCTTGTGAATCCAATGCGGGAAGTATATTTCACTGCTTCTCTCTGCTCCCGTCACTACATTTTTCCTGCCACCAACCATTTCGAGCACTGTCATCCCAAAGCTGTACACATCTGATTTTTGGGATATTCCTCCGAAGTTCCTGCAAAATACTTCTGGCGCGATAAACCCCGCAGTCCCTCGCGCGCCGAGTAGTGAGATCATGCTCTCCTCTCGATGGCATATCTTCGCAAGGCCAAAGTCGGAAATCTTGGGGCAATAGTTTTCATCGAGAAGGATGTTGTGCGGCTTTATGTCGAAATGTAATATTCTCGAGTTGCAGCCTTGGTGCAAGTATTCGAGCCCTTGAGCAATGCCTAGGGAGATTTGGTACAAGGTGTCCCATCCGAGGTGGTGGCAACCTAGCTTGCTGTAGTTCTCTTCGTATATGAGTTTCTCCAGAGATCCATTGGGCATGTACTCATAGACAAGAGCCCTTTTGGTTTTGTGAAAGCAGAAACCTAGCAGAGTAACAATGTTGACATGGGAAGTTCTGCTCATGCTGTTTACCTCATTGATGAAGTCTTCACCTTCTCCTTTGAGCTTGCTTAGGATTTTCACTGCCACGAGATGACCATTTGGGAGCTTCCCTTTGTACACACAACCATAGCCTCCTTGGCCTAGTTTTTCTTTGAATGAGTTGGTCATTCTCTTTATGTCAGCATAAGAATATCTTCTCGTTGCTAAAATTCCCCGATTTTCGAAAAGGACCTCACATTTATGACTCTTTTTCATCTTTCCGCTCCCTGTGATCATGGAGTTCTGCTTGGATATTTTTTGTCGAAGACGATAGGCTAGGACTATTGTAGCGACACCAAATGCACTGATTGATGCACCTGCGTAACCAAAGGATACAAAGTTTAAATAGTGATGACTATTTTGATGGGGTTTTGTAGTCCTAGTTCCAATTATACTGGCCAAATGTCTAAATTTGAATTCATAAGCATGCGTAACAAATTTGATGTACTACTTACCAATAGCACCTTTCTTCCATAAACTCCTAGCTTTCAATTTCCCTGCAACATAAACGTTGTAAAATAGAATGCAGAAGCTGACCGGACCTTCGCAATTAAATCAAGAGCGAGAGAGAACAAAATTACCAACTCATTCAATAGGTTCAACAGGTTTATCTTCAACATGTATTAGTAATTACTTAAATCCTTTGTTACATAGAGGGCCTGAATTTTTGCCCACAAATGTGCGGTATCCTTCTCGTCGGCTACCTCTATTAACAAATCATTCAATAGGTTCAATAGGTTTATACCCTTTGCCCTCTCAATGAACTTAGCCTTGCCATCCAACGCCTTGGCTAAACTTTGAGTTGTTAATAGCCCACGCATCTTAACGCTTTACAACTCAAAGTTGTTCCTCCCGTTAAATATCTTAATTTCTACTTTCGCTCCAAATATAATTGCAAAGTCTCAAGCTCTGACACCAATTGTGGTAAAATTGAGTGCGAAAGCTAACCGGATCTTTACGATTTAATCCAGAGCGAGAGAGAATGAAATTGAAAGAGAAATAAAACAATGAACAATAAAGAATAAAAGAGATTAACGCGGTTCAGTTGGAGTGTCAATACCTACTTCATGGGGAGAGCCAGCTAGAATTAACCGACTAATCAATGAGAGAATTATAGAATTACAATCATTTACATTCTCATGTGTTTTCTAGCCCTAGATTACACTCAATCTCACATGGTTTAGCCTGATTACCTCGCGACTAAAACACCTCTATTGGACGTAAAACTCTGCACAAAACCACGGTGTTTTGAGCGTCTCTCTTAACTTGTGTTATGCTCCTCTTTGTGCGCTCCTCAGAGGGTGTATTCTCTTTTCGGAGCTCCCCTCTCTTCTATATTGAGCTCCTCTCTATTATGCGATTAGTAAGAGAGCTTAGCTTGAGCTTATTTTCAAAGAGTTTGACTTGGCATATGGAGTCATTATTGTTTTGCTAATAGAAGGAGAAAAGAAAGCAATCCCGCATGTTTTTCGTTGTTTTCTCTGACAAACCTCAATATCAGCTGAAAAGGGAGCTCACATATGTGGCCAAATAAAAGCTCTAATGCGTGTCCAAAATAAGAGTCATGAAAGGCCAAAAGGAACTCCTTTGAAGATCACGCTTCAAGAAGAAATAGTTTGGGTTTTCTTTACTCCTAAAGTTTGTCAAAAAAATTCTGACCAATGAGCAACTTGGACGACTCCATCGCACTTCCGAAATCGTTCATATATTAGACATAATTTAACAATAAAAGCAATAATAGTTGGAGAATTTTTAGAGGAAAAACGGAGACTATACAATTCATAGAGCTCAGCGTCCATCTTCCTCCTAACAATTATAAGATTCGCATTGTCATAGTAACCACGTTCAGGGAAGAAAATAATTTATGATGAATTATTTGCATGAACCGTTAATTCATAACTTAAAAAACCTTACCACCGCCACTACTGCAGTCCTTGGGATGACTGGTTCCGTGTGGGCAGTAGCACAGAAAGTCTGTGTCTCGTAATCGTCCACATCGGCCTCCACTTTCTTGACAACCAATACAACTCTTCTTAGTTAATAAATCCCATTTTAACCGGAACCCTTTCTCCAACAATGCCCTGTAATCGACATCTTCGATTGTTTGATTCAAGAACCCTCCCTCCAGTTGTACTGGTACCATTACAACTGACGGGCAGAATCCCAAAGTATGTACTCGGAGAGTGCTATTAGGAAATAAAGCAACAGAGCTGTTGTATGTGACGTTAGAAGTACAATTCACAAGTGATGTTGGGAAGGGAAAAGAAGTGTTGATGCAGTTATAGAAGAAGAATAGTTTATGAAGAGAAGCAGTTTTCGTTAGGAAGACGTTTTCGGGAGGTGAAGAGGAGAAGGGAAGAGGAAGAAAGCAAGAAGTATCCCTCTGGCTTACTAGTTCAATGGAACTCTCATTGTAGGAGATGCTTTTGACTGAGTAGGGACCATACATAGTTTTTGTTCCTTCACAAGTGATCTCAAATCCAGGGTAACCGCATAAATCTCTTCTTTCTCCAGGAATATAAAAGGGATAACTTACGTTCACACGGTTGCCTCCACAACTGCTGGGTTTGCACACTTCATATGACACTTCATCCGATGATGACTCGACAGGATCTTCTAAGATGGCAATGAAGAAGATGCAGAACGCCGTGGAAACTAAGCTTCGCGTGTAAGCGCAGTGTAGACCCATCTCAGAAATTTCGATCTGGTTTTAGTCTGGAATGTACGAATTTTTTTTTTTTTTTGGATATTAATGCTCCAGAATAATATGGAACACCATGAAGAAGAAGAAGAAGAAGAGAAAGAAGAAGAAGAAGCTGTTTGATTCCTCACGTGAAAGTGAAAAGAAGGCCCTTGTTATTGGCAATTCCTTCTACTAGTCTTCTGATCTCAACTGCTCAAACACGGCATTTGACTTGGAAAGTGGACTGGAAGACTAGAACAGTAGTAAACTTTCAAGAAGGGCCAGGTAGAGACACGCAAAGGGAGTCATGTCATCCATCACTTTACCTCTTTCACATGTGAAGACCGATTGACAAGTTATTCCAAGAGTTCACTCCCATTTTCATATATCGCCTCAAGTGGATCCTTTACAAGAGGATAATGAGAGGGAAAAAAAAACCAGATACTTTTGTCCTCTGTTTTGCATATTAAGATCAAACCAAATAAGCAAGATTAGAAAACTAAGTCTAAGAAAAAAAAAACAAAATTAGTGGGTCTTTTACAATTAGGCATCTCTGTTGGAAAATTAATTTCAAGTATCCATTCTTACATAAGTAAAAAAGAATAAAAAATAGCAAGATAATAACAAAAATAAATCAATAAAAAAATAAAGAAATTCATAACAAAATGAAAAAGAGATAAAAAGTGATAAAAAGAAAGGAGGTTTTCTATTTCAGCAGGGGCTCTCGAACCTTTTGAATAAACCTCAGCCCATAAAAATATTTGGGGATTCGATTTGTGCAATTCATTAATTATATTCAGCACTCGGGCTAATTAATTCCAAGCCTATGAAACCTAGGCAAGGTATTCTGCCCATTATTCTCAGTTGAGGGCCATTCACCCATCCATTTGTTGGCCCAATTAAGTAAAAAAGAAAAGAGATCTGGGACGGTTTTCTTCATGGCCACCGTCACCGATTTCTGCGAGCATCACAAGTGCTCCGTTCCTTTGCAGTGACTGAGAACTTCGAGGGGTTTCAACCTCTTCCAGAGATTGCTTTCAGATTCCAATTCTGATCATCCTCATCGCAGCTTGTCGCTGCCTGCTACCGATTAGAATCCCTTCACTGCTCTCCTGACGTTATTAGCCTTCGTCGCCCTCGTTTCTCGGCATTCCGGAGTTGCGCCTTTTCCTCCTCTGCTTCTCCCTGTTCCACGACCGGAAATTCGTCGAAGTTATCTTGCGTTTGATTATTCAATATAACTTTCGACCCTCATTGGTGACGTTTCTGGAACGTCCTTGCTTGGATTTTCTCATCACTGTTCGGAGCTAGAAATCAAGCTTGATAGAGGTGAGTTCAATATTTTAGAATGAAAACAGAGACAGAGACTTCATACATTGTCAACCTAAAATCTGAAATGATCGAGGTTGAGTTGATGATTTAAGTCTCTGTTAGCGCTTATTGTGATGCGATGAAATGAATCGTCACCGTAAACTCGTATTTAAACTAAGAAACTAAGTTGCCCACCATATGTTCGACCAAATGCCCGAACTGAGTCCGTATAAATTAGTCCTTGATCGTGACCTGTTTTGAGTGTACAATGATATGTCACACATGAATGCAACTTTTTGTTGATGGCTAAGCATGATTTGCTACCGCATCTTATTTCCACCGATTCCAAATCTGACCAATTTCTTTTTTATTGTGTTTGCTCGGTGTTTATACGTCTTCCTGCTGCGTTCATTGATGGTCATCCGATCGCGTCCCTGTTTTTGTTCTCTGCATCTGTGGAGGCTGTGGCGTGCGTATGTTAATGACTGTGTGGCTTTATATAATTTCTGTATAGAAATTGGAAACCAAGGAAATTAAAAACATATTGAATTCTAGGTGGTCTTGCGGTCATGTACATTCAGCTGCATAAAATGTTAAGATGCTTTCTACAATTAATAACGTGGCTTTATATAACTTCTGTCGGCTTTAGCATTGGTGTCATACGTTCAACAAATAATAGAAGAAAAATTGCGGAAGTATTCTTATCTAACAATCTTTGTACACAAGTTGCTCATTGTATTGAAAGCCTAGATGTGCTTACAGTACAAACTTAAATTTCACACAGCCATGGACATTGAAGTGGTTGGTGATGATCTTGATGGAGAAGACAGATAGGGCTTGGGAGGAGCTAGCAAGCAGTCAACACTGCCTCTAAGCATATCCACCACCTCACTCATTGTTGGCCTAATTGAAGGATTAGTCTGTATGCACCACAAGCTCACTATTATCATCTTCCTAGCTTTCTCTCTGTCTCCTTCGCTTGTGACATTCTGCAGTCCGAACTCTTCTTGAAGTTCAAGACGCTTGTGAATCCAATGCGGGAAGTATATTTCACTGGTTCTCTCTGCTTCGGTTACTATATTTTTCCTCCCACCAACCATTTCGAGCGCTGTCATCCCAAAGCTATACACATCTGATTTTTGGGATATTCCTCCGATGTTCCTGCAAAATACTTCTGGAGCAATAAACCCCGCAGTCCCTCGCGCGCCGAGTAGTGAGATCGTGCTCTCCTCTCGATGGCATATCTTCGCAAGGCCAAAGTCGGAAATCTTGGGGCAATAGTTTTCATCGAGAAGGATGTTGTGCGGCTTTATGTCAAAGTGTAATATTCTCGAGTTGCAGCCTTGGTGCAAGTATTCGAGCCCTTGAGCTATGCCTAGGGAGATTCGGTACAAGGTGTCCCATCCGAGGTGGCGGCAACCTAACTTGCTGTAGTTCTCTTCGTATATGAGTTTCTCCAGAGATCCATTGGGCATGTACTCATAGACAAGAGCCCTTTTGGTTTTGTGAAAGCAGAAACCTAGCAGAGTAACGATGTTGACATGGGAAGTTCTGCTCATGCTCTTTACCTCATTGATGAAGTCTTCACCATCTCCTTTCAGCTTGCTTAGGATTTTCACTGCCACGAGATGACCATTCGGGAGCTTCCCTTTGTACACACAACCATAGCCTCCTTGGCCTAGTTTTTCTTTGAATGAGTTGGTCATTCTCTTAATGTCAGCATATGAATATCTTCTCGTTGCTAAAATTCCACGATTTTCGAAAATGACCTCAAATTTATGACTCTTTTTCATCTTTCTGCTCCCTGCGATCGTGGATTTCTGCTTGGATATTTTCTGCTGACAAATATAGGCTAGGACTATAATAGCGACACCAAATGCACTGATTGATGCACCTGCGTAACCAAAGGACATACAAAGTTTAAATAGAGATAATCATTCTGATGGGGTTCTATAGTCCCAGTTCCGATTATACTGGCCAAATGTCTAGATTTGAATTCATAAGCATGCGTAACAAATTTGATGTACTACTTACCAAGAGCACCTTTCTTTCGTAAGCTCCAAGCTCCTGCAACATAAATGTTGTAAAATAGAATGCGGAAGCTAATTGGATCTTTGCAATTAAATCAAGAGCGAGAGAGAATGAAATTACCAACTCACTCAATAGGTTCAACAGGTTTATCTTCAACATGGTGGAGGTGATTATTTAAATCTTTCATTACATAGAGGGCCTGAATTTTTGCCCACAAATGTTCGGTATCCTTATCATCGGCCACCTCTATTAACAACTCATTCAATAGGTTCAACAGGTTTATACCCTTTGCCCTCTCCATGAACTTAGCCTTGCCATCCGACGCCTTGGCTAAACTTTGGATGGTTAATAGCACACGCATCTTAAAACTTTACAACCCAAAATTGTTCCTGTCGTTAAATTTCTCAATTTCTATTTTCACTCCAAACATAATTGCGAAGTCTCGGCTCTAACACCAATTGTAGTAAAATCAAGTGCGAAAGCTGGCCGGATCTTTACAATTAAATCAAGAGCGAGAGAGAATACAATCAAAAGAGAAATAAAACGATGAAGAATAAAGAAAAAAGATATTTACGTGATTCGGTCCGAGTATCAATACTAATTCCATAGGGAGAGCCAACTAGAATTAACAGACTAATCAATGAGAGATTTGCATAGTTACAATCACTTACATGCTCAAGTTTTTTCCAGTCCTAGATTATACCCAATCCCACATTGTTTGGCCTGATTACCTCACGACTGAAACACCTCTATTGGATGTATAACTTTGCACAAAACCACGGTGTTTTGAGCGTCTCTCTTAACTTGTGTTAAGCTCCTCTCCGTGCGCTCATCAGAGAGTGTATTCTCTGTTCGGAGCTCCTCTCTCTTCTATAGTGAGCTCCTCTCTAATGTGCAATTAATAAGAGGGGCTTAACTTGGAGCTTATTTTCAAAGGGTTTGACTTGGCATACGGAGCCACCATTGTGCTAATAGAAGGAGAAAGGAAAGCGAGCCCGCATGTTTTTCGTTATCTTCTCTGACAAACCTCAATATCAGCTGAAAAGGGAGCTCAGATATGTGGCCAAATAAAAGCTCCAATGTGTGTCCAAAATAAGAGTCATGAAAGGCCAAAAGGAACTCCCTTGAAGATCATGCTTGAAGAAGAAATATTTTGGGATTTCTCTTTCCTCGTAAAGTTGGTCAAAAAATTCTGACCAACTTAGACGACTCCATTGCACTTCCGAAATCGTTCGTATATTAGACATAATGGAACAATAAAAGCAATAATAGTTGGATAATTTTTATCGGAAAAAGAGAGATGATACAATTCATAAAGCTTAGCATGCATCTTATCTTCCTCCTAGTCCTAACAATTTTAAGATTCGTATCATCATAATAATCACATTCTGTTCAGGGACGAGAATACTTTATGATGAACTTATTGCATGAACCATTAATTCCTAGTCCTAAAAACCTTACCGCTGTTGCTGCTATTGCAGTCCTTGTGGTGGCGAGTTCCATCAGGGCAATAACAGCAGAAATGTTCCTCGTCTGACAGTCCACATCGGCCATTACTTTGTCGACAAGTCTGACAATTCTTTTCGGGTAATAAATCCCATTTTAAGATGAACCCTTCCTTCAACAACTCCTTGTAGTCCACATCACCTATTGTTTGGTTCGACAACCCTTCCTTCAGTTCTACTGGTACCTCCACAGACGACTGGCAGGCTCCACCTTCTTGATAGTAGGGGTCATTTGGATGTATTAATGCAACAAAGGAGTTATATATGGGGTTAGACGTACAATTTACTGGGATTGTGGGGTAACGAAAAGAAAAGGAGCCTGTGCAATTATAGAAGAACCGGAGTCTTGGATGAAAGGAGTAACTGTGACCTAAAATCGGGTTTACGGGATAGAAAGTGGAGGGACGAGGAGTGAAGCAGGGAGCATCCATAACGTACTCATTCACCAATTGAATAGATTGTTCTTCATAGGAAATTCTTTCAACCGAGTAGTGACCGTACATAGTTTTTGTTCCTTGACAGATGATCTCAAATCCAGGGTAACCACATAAGCCTCTTTCTTTTCCAGGAATGTAAAAGGGATACCTTATTTCTGGGCTTCTGCCCCCGCCACATTTCAGGGGTTCGCAAAGTTGATACTGTGATGAGTTAATGGTCTCACCTAACATGGCAGTGAACAAGATGTGCAACCCAATGTGAAGTAGCACTCGCGCATGAGCACAGTATAGACCCATGACCATCCTGAGACTTTACACGCGGTTTCCAGGCTTCGAATGAGAGGGGAAGATTTTCCGTTTTACATTGATGCTTTACAATGTAGCAGCTTTGAACTTGAAGGGAAGGCCTTCTGATTGGAAATTCCTGCACATTGCTTCCTCTGCTCTTCATCTGCATAAACACGTTAGTTGACTTGGAAAAGAGGGCATGGAAGACTTGAAGAGACTTTGAAAAAAGAGGTAGGGACACCTAAATGAAGATTATTAAGTTTTGGGTCTGTCATATGTAATTGTAATGCCATCCATCACTTCCTTCTTGCTGATGATAGGCTGACGAAAAAATTCCAATCAGTCGATTTTCCACCAATCTTGGCCCCATTGACCAGTTATTGAAAGACTTTTTGACGATTCCATTTCTTTCCAAGCAATTACAGGTGACCCTCGCATATTAAAGCAGATAAGCAAGACAAGGAACAAAAGAACAAAACTTGGGGTCTAACTACAATTGAATCCATAAAAAAGGGGGAGATTCCACAAAGAAACATTAGTCGTGAAGTGAAACAAATAATTATAAAGGGCAGGGGAAATAAAGGAAATGATTATAAAACAAGTTCATGAGTTGCAATAGGAATTGCTCAGTTAGATCAGAGGCTGATTGGCCTATAAGCGGCTCTTATATCCATTTGGTAAGTCTCTTGAGAAGATGTAAGAACTACTCTCTGAACAGTAACGGCAGTGTCAGTGGTAAGAACTAAGAAGGCATTGTTTGAGCCAGTGATTATGTCAATTGAAGTTTTCAAACCGATGCCCTCACACAGAGCTTGTTGGGTGCGAAATGCTGTTACTCGACGTCTGCTGATATTGTCAGGCAATGCCGCTAGCAGTGGAGTAATAACAAGACTAGAGTCTCGCCAAATGTATAGAGAATCCCTTTTTGCCTGTGATAAAGACTACTAGCAGTAGCCATTGAATCTATGTCCATTTAGGCCAACGTCTTATATGTGTGCCCCTTTCATGGATGTTTGGGGGTTCAATTTTTGCCAAGAATCTAAGGGCAGTTAAGAGATAGCCAAAAGTTTTGTTGCATTTTGGATAGGACTCGTACTCGATTGTTTATTTCTAGACCTGTCCTCCTGTCCATGCCTGCCCTACCAATGGAGAACCAATTGTATATGCGTCCTCCCTGGGCTTCACATCTATGCCGGTCTATCCGAATGGCTCACAGTACGACAATCGCTAGAAGATGATACGGAAATTTTTTGAAGATGTCTCATTGAGGATTGAGAGTGGTGATATTTACAAGGGAAGGTTGCGGGTAGTGGGATTTTGAGCTAATGATTGCGTTGAAATTATTAGCGATGAGTATTCACCTTTCTAGGTACTCAATTCTTGTGAAAACATCTAAATCATATGACCAAGTTAAAATTGAGATTATAAAGTACCTGGAGAGAGCAATATAGTTCCCTTCAAGTAACGGATTTTAGCCAATGGAAAGGAGTTGACAGATAAGTCACCCTTACTGCCACTCTTTACCTTTTCGCTCCAAAAATTACTTTTGAGTCTATTTCAATTAAGGGGGTCATGGAAAGAACATTAAGTTCTACCTACTATTGGACCCTATATTCATTATTGTCTTTATTTCGATTACCACTTATCGTATTTGGTTTGGCATTGTGATCACGCATGAGTTTGAGAGTCATGATAATATTATTGAGGAACGTCTTCATCGGAATGATTTTCCTGTATACAACATTGAATTGAACCATAGACAAACTTGGACTTGCGATCCCAGGTAACCCATCTCCGGGTCCCTGCGGAAAGGAAAAAGAGTGTGGGTGGATTATTTTGAGTGGAGAGAACTTTGAATCGAACGACGACGGTAATGGCGGTCCCCCTCTTTCCCTTTTTCGCCCCCATGTTCACTTCAGCTGAGAGACCTGATATACATCTTGTCATATGTCAAGTCACCATGGTCATAAGCTTGAATGATTGTATCGCAGAAGTTCAGTATAAGTCACAACCAACCATAGAGAAAGATGGTCTCTGAAGACTTCCCTATAATTGTTATCTATGTGTTGAATCTGCTCATGTTTTTACGCCGTTCCTTTTCTCGGCCAACCAATATATCCATGTGTCGTGTTGGATACTTTTAATGTAGTAAGAAACAACAGATAAACTAAATAACCTATTTATGGTTCAATATCACGTGCAAGCTAGATTGAGAAAAGTGCTTTATTACCATGTCCATACCTTCAGATTTCGACCCAGCACTTGAATCAGTAACGTCTCAACATATATGACTGCTCACTTGCATTCACGTGTGTGTAAAGTATGTGACAAACGATACATGGATAATCTAACCATCAACACCAGGAGCAGAACTTCCGCTGCTACCCCATTTTTGAGTCACAGAAACTGGAGAATGGGTCGACTGCATATTCTTCAGTAGCTGAGAATCGTCATAATCCGGAGGAGATGGAGCAAGGACACTTTCACCCTCATCTGCATCAACAAATATGTCCGTAGCATTATCATTGCACGCGATCGCCTTCAGTTCCTCCAAAACCTCATCCATTGGAGGCCTCATTTCCTTGTTCAGTTGCAAGCACAGGAAAGCTAACTCGGCCACCGAAGTTGTCATCCTATTGATTTCGCTATCAGACTCACATCCTAGATTTGGGTCGATCAATTCGCCAAACGCGCATTTCTGAATCTTGTTAGTAGCGAAGTTGGCCAAATTAATCTCGTGGCTTTCTCTGCTTATGTCCACAGCTGGCTTGGATGATAAAAGCTCGACCAGAACAACTCCGAAGCTATAGACGTCACTCTTCTCCGTGAGCTGGTAGCACTGATGGTACTCGGGGTCCACATAACCTGGAGTCCCTTGAGGAGCTGTAGAGATATGAGAGACATCATTGGGGAATAGCCTCGAAAGCCCAAAATCCGCAATTTTAACCCCAAAATTCTTGTCGAGAAGGATGTTATTTGTTTTCACATCACGGTGGACAATGTCAGAGGCGTGGAGGTAAGCCAATGCAGTAGCAGTCTCTATGGCTATGTCCATACGGATTTGCCAAGGCAATATAGTAGACGAGTTTGCCGGCCGGCCATGGATATGATCAGCAACAGTGCCATTCGAGATGTACTCATAGACAAGTAGAAGCTCACGGCTGTGGCGAGAAGTGCAACCATACAGAGACACAAGGTTTTTGTGTTGCAAACGGGTCAGGATCTCTACCTCATTCATGAACTGCTTTACCCTTCGGTAGTTACGCTCGTATAGGCGCTTCACTGCTACCTCCCGCCCATCTCGAAGTTTTGCTGTTAAGAACATTGTAGAAAATGTCTTTCAGTAGCGAATCCCTTGGAGGAATAGTGAAAGAACATTTTCTCACCGTAGTAAACAGTTCCAAAACCTCCGTCTCCAAGTTCATTGGAAGCAGAGAAGTTATTTGTGGCTTCTTCAAGTTCGGTACGGTTGAAAATGGGGACTGCAAAGTAGACATTGCTCTCTTCCATGTCTGAATTGGAGTGAGGATATGAGGTGCTGTTTCTCAAATGGAACTTTAAAGAAGCTTTCTTCCTCTTCAAGTGGATCATATAGGCCAACAGGATGACGGCCAAGCTTCCGATTCCAATACCTGATGCACCAGGAGATAATTAACCCGTGTCCTATACAGGAAAATGGTTTTAACTTTTGTGCTGTTTCCTAGGACATATGGATTATGCTGGCTGGAAGCATGGACAGATAGTTGAACTCTTAAGACGAGGTAAGAAGATTTTGCTACAGCCGACTTTGATTTGATCAGCATTGTCAGATTGGTTTTGCAGTAAAAACCAGAAAGGATACTTCTGCAATAAGGTTTTGTTGTTTTATCATGTCAAGCTGGGAGCAGATTGTCCTAGTTATACTTTGATTTGTCCAGGTCAGCGGAGGCAATGTGATAGCAGACAAGAAACTAAGAAAAAGATAATCACCTAGTCCTATCTTCCACCACGAACACCTTTTTCCTGCATCAAAGTTGAGAAAGCAGATTGGTCAATTGTGGGAAAGGATGCCAAAATAGCCTCCATAGAGCTCATAAATCAACTTTACACACTCGGACGAATAGAGAATAATAAAAGGGAGAATAATAAAAGGGAGAATAGCCGTACAGACATCCGAATCCTATTTGATCTAAAATGGATGCACAACCTATCCCAACGTGAACAGCAGAGCAAGTTCAAAATATAAAGTGGGGTAACTTATGCTTGCCATTCATAATGAGATGTGTCAACTACTTGTGCATTTTATTGGCAAACAAGAGTCCTATATATTCATCTTCCTGAAATGAGAAGTCAGTTTAATTGCTATAGATGACAGAATCAATGGTTACTCGTAGGATTTGAATTTGAAAGTGTCATTTGAGATCATGGCTAAATTCAACCCAAGGAAGTAGTAGAGTTAGGGAGAAACAGACAAGAGTTCATGCTCTGAGTGTCCATTTTCTTCTTGTTCTTGTGTGTAGAAGCTGTGTAAATCTAATTGTATTTTTCTGTAGAAGTTTGAGCATTTGTAATTAGAGAATAGAGTGTGAAGTGTAGTGAAGATCGCTTGTATTTGCAGAAGCAGAGCTATAAGTAAAAGAAACATCTTCATACGCTATAGCATTTCGAGGATTACATAGTGAATTCCAGCCTTAATTTGGGCAGTTAGAGTTGGGAGATTGGAGTAGGCCTGCTGAATAGGCCAAGTGGATAGGCCGAACGGAGATGATATGATTAATAAAGCTCGGCGTGCATCTCCCTCCTAACAGTTATATAATTTGTCTACCACATTATGTTTAGGGAAGAGAATAATTAATGACGGATTTATTGCACGAATCTTTAATTCCTAATTCTGAAACCTTACCGCCGCCACTATTGCAGTTCTTGGGATTGGTTCCGTGTGGGCAATAGCACAGAAAGTCTCTGTCTCTTGATCGTCCACATCGGCCTCCACTGTCTCGACAACCAGTACACCTCTTGTTAGTCAATAAATCCCATCTTAACCGGAACCCGTTCTCCAACAACTCCTTGTAGTCGACATCTTTGATAGTTCGATTCAAGAACCCTCCCTCCAGTTGTACTGGTACCCATGAGAATAACTGGCAGGATCCACTATGGTGATAGATGGTGCCATTAGTAAGTAACGCAACAGAGGAGTTGTATGTGGCGTTAGAAGTACAACTCACGGGGGATGTTGGCAAGGGAAAAGAAGGGTCGGTGCAATTAAGGAAGAACAAGAGTTTAGGATGAAGAGAAAAACTCTTGTTTAGGAAGATGTTTATGGGAACAAACGCGAAGGGATGAAGAGCAAGGCAAGAACTATCCCCTTGGCTTACTAAATGGATGGAACTCTCCTTGTAGGAAATGCTTTTAACTGTGTAGTGAGCATACATGGTTTCTGTTCCTTTACAAGTGATCTCAAATCCAGGATAACCGCATAATTCTCTTCCTCCTCCAGAAATATAAAAGGGATAGCTTATGTTCGGAGGGTCACCCTTGGCCCTACAATTGGCGGGTTTGCACACTTCATATGACACTTTATCTGACGACGCGACAGGATCTTCTAAGATGGAAATGAAGAAGATGCAGAACGCCGTGCAAACTAAGCCTCGTGTGTAAATGAAGCGTAGACCCATCTCTGGATTTCGATATGTTCTTAGTCTGGAACATACGAAGTTTCCTTCTTGTTTGTTTGGATATCAATGCTCTAAAATGGAATGGAACGGCATGAAGAAGAAGAAGAAGAAGAAAAAGAAGAAGGGGAAGAAGTTGTTTGATTCCTCACGTGAAAGTGAAAAGAATGCCCTTGTTAATGGCAATTCCTTCTGCTGGTCTTGTGAGATCAGCTCTCCTTAAACACGGCAGTTGACTTGGAAAGAGGACGGGAAGACTAGAACAAGAGACTTTTTAGAAGCGGCAGGTAGAGACAGAGACACCCAAGGGAGCAATGTCATCCATCACTTTACCTCTTTGATGATGATAGGTCGGTGAAATATGAAGACGTGCAGTTAGTGAACTTGCACAAATCTTGCCCCGATTGACCAGTTATTGCAAGAGTTGACTCCTATTTTCATATATCCCCTCAAGTTGGATCCTTTACAAGAGGATGATGAAAAAAAAAAACATAAAAACCCAGAAACTTTTATCCCCTGTTATGCTTATTAAATCAAACTAAATAAGCTAGATTAGGAAAATAAGATCAAGAAAAGAAAATCAGTGGGTCTTTAACAATTATAGGTCTCCGTTTGAAAATTAATTTCAAGGAAGCAGCAGGAGTTAGTTCTAGGAAATAGCGAGAAATTCCAAAAAGGTAAATACCAAGCACAATGAGCATGAACAACAAAAACTATTGACCTATCAAGAAAGTTTTTTTGAGAGTATTTTGTTGATACCTAAAATTTTGGTCGACAATTCAAGTATTTATTCTTGCAAAAGTACAAAAATAAAAAATGGCCAGTAATAATAAAAATAAATCAATCAAAAAAATTAATAAATACATAACAAATGAAAAAGTGATAAAAAGAGGTTTTCTTTTTCAGTGCAAGCTCTTGAACCGTTTGAATAAACCTTAGCCTCCATAAAGATATTGGGATTCGATTTGTGTTATTTATAAAAAAAATCATAAATTTATTGCACTTTTACTAATTCAGTTATAAACTTTTTAATTGTGTCATAAACCTTTTCACTTTTTGTTAATTGAGTGCATCTGGCCAAAAAATCGCTGATGTGGATTTTTTAATTAATTTTTTATATTTTTGTTCAAAATTTTAAATTCAATTTTTTTTCATTTTCCTTCAAAAAAGCTTGATATAAAAGAGATATGAGAAGGTTTTCTTAATGGCCTGATCCGTAGGTCATCTTCGCCATCACCGATTTCTGCGAGCATCAGAAGTGCGCCGTTCCTTTGCTGTGACTTGAGAGCTTCGAGCGGTTTCAACTTTCGACCTCCTTTGGAGACGACGCTTGGATTTGCGCCTTTTCCTGCTCTGCTTCTCCCTGTTCCACGACCGGGAAATTCACCGAAGTTATCTCGCGTTTGTTGCTTCAATATAACTTCCAATCCCCATCGGTGACGTTTCTGGACCGTCCTCGCTTGGATTTTCTCATCACTGTTCGGAGCTAGAAATCAACCTTGATAGAGGTGAGTTCAATATCTGTTGCTCCCGGTCATAGCTTTAGAATGAAAACAGAGACTGAGACTTCATACATTGTCAATCTAAAATCTGAAATGATCGAGGCTGAGTTGATGATTTATGTTAGCGCTTATTGTGACGGAATGAAGTGAATCGTTACCGTAAACTCATACATAACTAATCAACTAAACTGCCCACCATATGTTCGACAAATGCCCAATCTGTGTCCGTATTGATTAGTCCTTGATCCTGACCTGTTTTGACTTTTGAGTGTATAATGACATGTCACACGCGATTGCAACTTTTAGTTGATGGCTAAGCATGATTTTCTACCGCATCATATTTCCACCTATACCAAATCTGAACAATTCCTTTTTGTTTTGTTTGCTCGATGTTAGTACGTGTTCCTGCTGCATTCAATGATGGTCGTCCGATCGCGTCCCTGTTTTTGTTCTCTGCGTCTGTGGAGGCTGTGGCGGGCCTTTGTTAATGACTGTGTGGCTTTATATAATTTCTGTATAGAAATTGGAAACCAAGGAAATTAAAAACATATTGAATTCTAGGTGGCTTTGCGGTCATGTACATTCGGCTGCATAAGATGCAAATTCATGTTAAGTTGCTTTCTGCAATTAATGACGTGGCTTTATATAACTTCTGTCGGCCTAAGCATTGGTATCATACGTTCAACAAATAATAGAAGAAAAATTTCTGAAGTATACTTATCTAACAATCTTTGCACACAAGTTGCTCATTGCATTGAAAGGCTAGATGTGCTTATAGTATGAACTTAAATTTCACACAGCCATGGACATTGAAGTGGTTGGTGATGATCTTGATGGAGAAGACAGGTAGGGCTTGGGAGGAACTAGCAAGCAGTCAACACTGCCTCTAAGCATATCCACCACCTCACTCATTGTTGGCCTAATTGAAGGATTAGTCTGTATGCACCACAAGCTCACTATTATCATCTTCCTAGCTTTCTCTCTGTCTCCTTCGCTTGTGACATTCTGCAGTCCAAACTCTTCTTGAAGTTCAAGACGCTTGTGAATCCAATGCGGGAAGTATATTTCACTGGTTCTCTCTGCTTCGGTTACTATATTTTTCCTCCCCCCAACCATTTCGAGCACTGTCATCCCAAAGCTGTACACATCTGATTTTTGGGATATTCCTCCGATGTTCCTGCAAAATACTTCTGGCGCAATAAACCCCGCAGTCCCTCGCGCGCCGAGTAGTGAGATCGTGCTCTCCTCTCGATGGCATATCTTTGCAAGGCCAAAGTCAGAAATCTTGGGGCAATAGTTTTCATCGAGAAGAATGTTGTGCGGCTTTATGTCGAAGTGTAATATTCTCGAGTTGCAGCCTCGGTGCAAGTATTCGAGTCCTTGAGCTATGCCTAGGGAGATTCGGTACAAGGTGTCCCATCCGAGGTGGCGGCAACCTAGCTTGCTGTAGTTCTCCTCGTATATGAGTTTCTCCAGAGATCCATTGGGCATGTACTCATAGACAAGAGCCCTTTTGGTTTTGTGAAAGCAGAAACCTAGCAGAGTAACGATGTTGACATGGGAAGTTCTGCTCATGCTGTTTACCTCATTGATGAAGTCTTCACCATCTCCTTTGAGCTTGCTTAGGATTTTCACTGCCACGAGATGACCATTTGGGAGCTTCCCTTTGTACACACAACCATAGCCTCCTTGGCCTAGTTTTTCTTTGAATGAGTTGGTCATTCTCTTAATGTCAGCGTATGAATATCTTCTCGTTACTAAAATTCCATGATTTTCGAAAATGACCTCACATTTATGACTCTTTTTCATCTTTCTGCTCCAAAGATAGGCTAGGACTATAATAGCGACACCAAATGCACTGATTGATGCACCTGCGTAACCAAAGGACATACAAAGTTTAAATAGAGATAATCATTCTGATGGGGTTTTATAGTCCTAGTTCCAATTATACTGGCCAAATGTTTAGATTTGAATTCATAAGCATGCGTAACAAATTTGATTTACTACTTACCAAGAACACCAATCTTCTGTAAGCTCCTAGCTCCTGCAACGTAAATGTTGTAAAATAGAATGCGGAAGCTGACCAGATCTTTGCAATTAATTCAAGAGTGAGGGAGAACGAAATTATTAACTCATTCGATAGATTCAACAGGTTTATCTTCAACATGGTGGAGGTGATTATTTAAATCCTTCGTTACATAGAGGGCCTGAATTTTTGCCCACAAATGTTCGGTATCCTTATCATCGGCCACCTCTATTAACAACTCATTCAATAGGTTCAACAGGTTTATACCCTTTGCCCTCTCCATGAACTTAGCCTTGCCATCGGACACTTGGGCTAAACTTTGGATGGTTAATAGCACACGCATCTTAAAACTTTACAACCCAAAATTGTTCCTGTCGTTAAATTTCTCAATTTCTATTTTCACTCCAAACATAATTGCAAAGTCTCGGCTCTAACACCAATTGTAGTAAAATCAAGTGCGAAAGCTAGCCGGATCTTTACAATTAAATCAAGAGTGAGAGAGAACGGAATCAAAAGAGAAACAAAATGATGAAGAATAAAGAAAAAAAGATATTTACGTGATTCGGTTCGAGTATCAATACTTACTCCACAGGGAGAGCCAACTAGAATTAACTGACTAATCAATGAGAGATTTGTATAGTTACAATCACTTGTACGCTCAAGTGTTTTCCAGCCCTTGATTATACCCAATCCCACATTGTTTGGCCTGATTACCTCACGACTGAGACACCTCTATTGGATGTATAACTTTGCACAAAACCACGGTGTTTTGAGCGTCTCTCTTGACTTGTGTTAAGCTCCTCTTCTTGCGCTCATCAGAGAGTGTATTCTCTGTTCGGAGCTCCTCTCTCTTCTATACTGAGCTCCTCCCTAATGTGCAATTAATAAGAGGGGCTTAACTTGGAGCTTATTTTCAAAGGGTTTGACTTGGCGTACGGAGCCATCATTGTGCTAATTGAAGGAGAAAAGAAAGCAAGCCCGCATGTTTTTCCCTTTCTTCTCTGACAAACCTCAATATCAGTTGAAAAGGAAGCTCAATTATGTGGCCAAATAAAAGCTCCAATGTGTGTCCAAAAGAAGAGTCATGAAAGGCCAAAAGGAACTCCCCTGAAGATCACGCTTCAAGAAGAAATAGATTGGGATTTCTTTACTAGTAAAGTTGGTCAAAAAATTCTGACCAACTTGGATGACTCCATCGCAATTCCGAAATCGTTCATAAATTAGATATAATTTAACAATAAAAGCAATAATAGTTGGTGACTTTTTTCGAAAAAAGAGAGATTATACAATTCATGAAGCTTAGCGTGCATATTCCTCCTAATGGTTATAAGATTCGTATCGTCACAGTAACCACCTTCAGGAAAGAGAATAATTTTTGAACCCTTAATTCCTAACTCAAAAACCTTATCACTGTTGCAGTCCCTGGGATTATTGGTTCCGTGTGGCCAATAGCACCAAAAGTCTCTGTCTCGTGATCGCCCACATCGGCCTCCACTTTCTCGACATCCGGTACAAATCTTGTTAGTTAACAAATCCCGTTTTAACAGGAAGCCGTTGCCCAACAACTCCTTGTAGTCGACATCTTTGATAGTTTGATTAGAGAACCCTTCCTTCAGTTGTACTGGTACCACTGACACTGACTGGCAGGAATTATTTTGGCGATAGAAGGTGCTATTTGGAAGTTTTAACGCAACAGAGATGTTGTATGTGGCGTTAGAAGTACAACTCACGGGGGATGTTGGGAATTGAAAAGAAGAAGAGTCGGTGCAGTTATAGAAGAACAAGAGTTTAGGATGAAGAGAAAAACTGTTGTTTAGGAAGATGTTTCTAGGAGTGAAAGTGAAGGGACGTGGAGCAAAGCAAGAAGTATCCCTTTGGCTTACTAATTCGATGGAACTCTCTTTGTAGGAGATCTTTTAACTGAGTAGTGAGCATACATAGTTTTTGTTCCTTCACAAGTGATCGCAAATCCAGGGTAACCGCATAAATTTCTTCCTCCTCCAGGAATATAAAAGGGATAGCTTATGTTTACACGGTCGCCCTCGTCCCCACAACTGCGGGGTTCGCACACTTCATATGACACTTCATCCAACATCGACACGACAGGATCTTCAAAGATGGAAATGAATAAGACGCAGAACGCCGTGCAAACTAAGCCTCATGTGTAAATGCAACGTAGTACCATCTCTGGATTTGATATGTTCTTAGTCTGGAACATACGAAGTTTCCTTTTTTTTTTTTTATGTTTGGATATCAATGCCCTAGAATGGAATGGAACGGCATGAAGAAGAAGGAGGAGGAGGAGAAGTTGTTTGATTCCTCACGCGAAAGTGAAAAGAAGGCCCTTGTTATTGGCAATTCCTTCTGCTGGTCTTGTGAGATCGGCTCTGCTTAAACACGGCAGTTGACTTGGAAAGAGGACGGGAAGACTTGAACAAGAGACTTTTGAGAAGAGCCAGGTAGAGACAGAGACACCCAAGGGAGCAATGTCATCCATCACTTTACCTCTTTGATGAGGATAGGTCGGTGAAATGTGAAGACCTGCAGTTATTGAACTTGCACAAATCTTGCCCCGATTGACCAGTTATTCCAAGAGTTGACTCCTATTTTCATATATCCCCTCAAGTTGGATCCTTTACAAGAGGATAATGTAAAAAAAAAAGACAGTAAAAACCCAGAAACTTTTATCCCCTGTTATGCTTATTAAAATCAAACTAAATAAGCTAGATTAGGAAAATAAGTTCAAGAAAAAAAATTAGTGGGTCTTTGATAATTAGAGGCCTTTGTTCGAAAATTAATTTCAAAGAAGCAGCCGGAGTTAGTTCTAGGAAACAATGGGAAATTCCAAAAAGGTAAATACCAAGCACAATGAGCACGAACAACAAAAACCATTGGCCTACCCTAGAAAGTTTTTTGAGAGAGTTTTGTTAAAATCTAAATTTTAGTCGACAATTCAAGTACTCATTTTTCTAAAAGTACAATATAAAAATAGCAAAATAGTAAAAAAAATAAATCAATCGAAAAAATAATTAAATGCATAACAAATGAAAAAGTGATGACCAAAAAAAGAAAAAAGTGATAAAAAAGAGGTTTTCTTTTTCGGTACGGGCTCTTGAACCGTTTGAGTAAACCTTAGCCCATTAAAACATTTGGATTCGATTTCTGCTATTCATTTGGTGGGGAAAATTACAAAAAAAATGGTAAATATATTACATTTTTACTAATTCAGTTCTAAACCTTTCAAATGTATCAATTGAGTTATAAACCTTTTCACCTTTTGCTAATTGAGTCCATCTTGCCAATTTGGTCAAAAATTGCTGATGCGAATGTCGGCACTCATGTGGAATTTTTTAATTATTAATTTTTAAATATTTTTTTCGAATTTTGTAATTATTATTATTATTATTTTTAAAGCCCGATGGAAAAGAGATAAAGGATGGTTTTCTTAACGGCCTGATCCGTCGGTCGTCTTCGCCATCACCGATTTCTGCGAGCATCATTTGAGATCTCATGACTATAAATTCAACCCAATGAAGTAGTAGAGTTAAGGGGAAACGAACAAGAGTCTATGCTCTGACTGTTCATCTTCTTGTTGTTCTTGTGTGTAGAAGCTGAGTAAATCTAATTGTATTTTTCTATAGAAGTTTGAGCATCTGTAATTAGAGAATAGATTGTGAAGTGTAGTGAGGATCGCTTGTATTTGTAGAAGCAGAGCTACAAGTAAAAGAAACATCTTCAGACGCTATGACATTTCAAGGATTACACAGTGAATTTCAGCCTTGATTTGGGCTATTAGAGTTGGGAGATTGGAGTAGGCTGGCTGAATAGGCCAAGTATATGATTAATAAAGCTCGGCGTGCATCTTCCTCCTAACAGTTATAAAATTTGTATCATCCTAATAACCACATTCTGTTCAGGGAAGAGAATAATTTATGATGAACTTATTGCATGAACCCTTAATTCCTAATTCAAAAACCTTACCACTGTTGCAGTCCCGGGGATGATTGGTTCCGTGTGGGCAATAGCACAGAAAGTCTCTGTCTCGTGATCGTCCACATCGGCCTCCACTGTCTTGACAACCAGTACAACTCTCGTTAGTCAATAAATCCCATTTTAACCGGAACCCGTTCTCCAACAACTCCTTGTAGTCGACATCTTTGATAGTTTGATTAGAGAACCCTTTCTTCAGTTGTACTGGTACCACTGAGGATGACCGGCAGGATCCACTTGGGTTATAAAAGGTGCCATTAGGAAGTAACGCAACAGAGGAGTTGTATGTGGCGTTAGAAGTACAACTCACAGGGGATGTTGGGAAGGGAAAAGAAGGGTTGGTGCAATTAACCAAGAACAAGAGTCTAGGATGAAGAAAAAAACTGTTGTTTAGGAAGATGTTCATGGGAACAAAAGTGAAGGAACGAGGAGCAAGGCAAGAAATATCCCCTTGGCTTACTAAATCGATGGAACTCTCCTTGTAGGAAATGCTTTTAACTGAGTAGTGAGCATACATAGTTTTTGTTTCATTACAAGTGATCTCGAATCCAGGATAACCGCATAATTCTCTTCCTTCTCCAGGAATATAAAAGGGATAGCTTATCTTCAGAGGGTCGCCCTCGCCCCTACAACCGTGGGGTTTGCACGCTTCATATGACACTTCATTTGACGACGACGCGACAGTATCTTCTAAGATGGAAATGAAGAAGATGCAGAACGCCGTGCAAACTAAGCCTCGTGTGTAAATGAAGCGTAGACCCATCTCTGGATTTCGATATGTTCTTAGTCTGGAACATACAAAGTTTCCTTCTTTTTTTGTTTGGATATCAATGCTCTAGAATGGAATGGAACGGCATGAAGAAGAAGAAGAAAAAGAAGAAGGAGAAGAAGTTGTTTGATTCCTCACTTGAAAGTGAAAAGAAGGCCCTTGTTATTGGCAATTCCTTCTGCTGGTCTTGTGAGATCAGCTCTGCTTAAACACGGCAGTTGACTTGGAAAGAGGACGGGAAGACTTGAACAAGAGACTTTTGAGAAGAGCCAGGTCGAGACAGAGACACCCAAGGGAGCAATGTCATCCATCACTTTACCTCTTTGATGATGATAGGTCGGGGAAATGTGAACACCTGCAATTAGTGAACTTGCAGCACAAATCTTGCCCCGATTGACAAGTTATTCCAAGTGTTGACTCCTATTTTCATGTATCACCTCAAGTTGGACCTTTACAAGAGGATAGTGAAAAAAACGAGTAAAAACCCAGAAACTTTTATCCCCTGTTATGCTTATTAAAATGAAACTAAATAAGCTAGATTAGGAAAATAAGATCAAGAAAAGAAAATCAGTGGGTCTTTGACAATTATAGGTCTCCGTTTGAAAATTAATTTCAAAGAAGTACCAGGAGTTAGTTCTAGGAAACAGTGGAAAATTCCAAAAAGGTAAATACCAAGCACAATGAGCACGAACAGCAAAAATCGTTGGGCTACCCGAGAAAGTTTCTCGAAAGGATTTTGTTAACACCTAAGTTTTAGTCGACGATTCAAATATTCATTCTTCTAAAAGTACAAAAATAAAAAATAGAAAAATAATAATAAAAATAATTAAATACATAACAAACGAAAAAGTGATGACCAAAACAAGAAAAAGAAAAATAAGTGATAAAAAGGAGGTTTTCTTTTTCAGTATGGGCTCTTGAACCGTTTGAATGAACCTTAGCTCATTAAAACATTTGGATTCGATTTCTGCTATTTTTTTTTTCTGGTCGAATATTTCTGCTATTCATTTAGCGGGGAAAATTACCAAAAAAATTCAAATTTTATTACACTTTTGCTAATTCAATTTTGAATTTTGCAAATGTGTCAATTGAGTTTTAAACCTTTTTATCATTTTGTCAATTGAGTACATCTGGCCAATTTGGCAAAAAAATTGCTGACGTGAACGTTGGCACTCAAGTGGAATTTTTATTATTATTAAATTTTAATTATTTTTTTCGAATTTTGTAATTATTATTATTATTTTTAAAGCCTGATAGAAAAGAGATAAGGGATGGTTTTCTTAACGGCCTGATCCGTCGGTCATCTTCGCCATCACCGATTTCTGCGAGTATCAGAAGTGCGCCGTTCCTTTACAGTGACCGAGAGCTTCGAGCGGTTTCAACCTCGTTCAGAGATTGCTTTCAGATTTCAATTCTGATCATCCTCATCGCCGCTTGTCGCTGCCTGTTACCGCTGAGAATCCCTTCGCTGCTCTCCTAACGTTATTAGCCTTCGTTGCCGTCCTTTCTCGGCATTCCGGATTTTCGCCTTTTCCTGCTCTGCTTCTCCCTGTTCCACGACTGGGAAATTCGCGGAAGTTATCTCGCGTTAATTTCTTCAATATGACTTCCGATCCTCATTGGTGACATTCCTGGAACGTCCTCGCTTGGATTTTCTCATCACTGTTCGGAGCTAGAAATCAAGCTTGATAAAGGCGAGTTCATTATTTGTTACTCTCGGTGATGGTTTTAGAACGAAAACAGAAACTGGGACTTCATATATTGTCAATCTAAAATCTGAAATGATTGAGGCTGATTTGATGATTTAGGTCTCTGTTAGCGCTTCTTGTGATGGGATGAAATGAATGGTTACCGTAAACTCATATTTTAACTAAGAAACTAAGTTGCCCACCATATGTTCGACAAAATGCCAGAACTGAGTCCTTAGTCCGTATAGATTAGTCCTTGATCCCGACCTGTTTCGAGTGTATAATGGTATGTCACACGTGAATGCAACTTTTTGTTGATGGCTAAGCATGATTTTCTACCGCATATTATATCCACCGAGACCAAATTTGAGCAATTTCTTTATGATTGTGTTTGCTCGGTGTTTACACGTCTTCCTGCGCCGTTCAATGATGGTCATCAGCGAGGAGCCACTCAAAAATTGACAGTCCGAGGGTTAATTTTTAAGCTCAATTGTTCCGGTTTGTTCATCACATCCTTTTATCCGATCATGTCCCTGTTTTTGTTCTCTGCGTCTAGCTGTGGCCGACGTATATTGATGACTCTGTAGTGGACGACGGTGGAGGTTTGATAACAAGTATAGGTAGATTAACAGAGATGAATATATGTTCATGCTTTGATGATTTGGTAGACGGATCTTTGATTGTGTTTTGGCTGTTCTCACTACTATGAGGAAGACGATGAGAAAAAAGGAATAGAAAAGAAAAAAAAAGAAGAAAAATGCATATTAACAAGTATGAAAAAAGGAAAAAAAACATAAAAAAACTCCAAACCATTCTCAATGTAATACATTTACCCGTTTTTTGTAACATTAAAAACCCCAAACTATGGCTACTGTAACATATTTATTCCAAACTTTTTCTTTTAACATAAAAAACTTAAAACTTGTACCTATGCGACATATTTACCCTCAGTCAAGGTTTCGCTAGATGATTTTTCAACTAAAATAACGTTTTTATTTCATTTAAATCATGTGGGTGCCATGTCAATACTGTTTGCTTTATGGCGTCCAAGTAGGCAGATTTTCAAATGTTCCCATTGAAGGAACTTTGAAGAAAGTTAAATGTGTCATGAATGTACAAGTTTGGGATTTTTTGTGCCATAGAAAAATTTATGGTAAATGTATCACGGTATGCATAGTTTAGAGTTTTTGGTGATTTTTGTCCTAAAAAAGACTTGGGTAAAAAAAAACTTGGGTGTAACTACAATTGAATCCATAAAAAGGGGGAGATTCCATAAAGAAACACAAGTCATGAAATTAAACAAATAATTATAAAGGGCAGGGAAAGAAAGCAAATGACTATAAGACAAGTTCATGAGTTGCAATAGCAATTGCTCAGTTAGATCATAGGCTGATTGGCCTATAAGCGGCTCTTATATCCATTTGATAAGTCCCTTGAGAAGATAAGAACTACTCTCTGAAAAGTCACAGCAATGTTAGCGGTAAGAAGGCAGTGTTTGAGCCAGTGATTATGTCAATTGAAGTTTTCAAACCGATACCCTTACTTAGAGCTTATTTGGTGTGAAATGCAGTTACGTACGTTTGCTGATATTGTCAAGCAATGCCACTAGCTGATCACATGCTGAAGAGAATGTGCCTAAAGAGAAGAAGAGTATAGTACTATAGTAGCAGTGGAGTAATAACCAGACTAGAGTCTCGCCAAATGTATAGAGAATCCCTTTTGCCTGTGATTAAGACTACTAGAACTAGTCATTAATCTATATCCAGTTAGGCCATTGTCTTATATTTGTGTCCCTTGCATGGATGTTTGGGGGTTCAATTTTTGCCAAGAATCTAAGGGCAGTTAAGAGAAAGCCAAAAGTTTTGTTCCGTTTTGGAGAGGACTCGTACTCGAATGTTTATTTCTAAACCTGTCCTCCTATCCAAGCCTGCCCTACCAATAGAGAACCAATTGTATCTGCGTCCTCCCTGGGCTGCACATGACTTTATGCATGGTCTATCCGAATGGCTCACAGGACGACAATCGCTAGAAGAGAATACGGAAAATTCTGGAAGATGTCTCATTGAGGATATTTGCAAGGAAAGGTTGTGGTTGCGGCTAGTGGCATTTTGATCTAATGATTGCATTGAAACTATTAGCGATGAGTATTCTCCTTTCTAGGTACTCAATTCCTGCGAAAACCCCAAAATTACATGGGCAAGTTGAAATTGAGATTATCAATTAACCGGAGAGAACAATATTGTTCCCTTCAAGTAAAGGATTCTAACCAATTGAAATGAATTGACGGATAAGTCACCCTTATTGCCAATCTCCAAGTTTCCCCTCCAAAAATTTTCTCCAGCCTGTTTCAATTAAGGGGTTAATGGAAAGAACATTCAGTTCTACCTACTATTGGACCCTCTATTCATTAGTATCTTTATTTTGATTACCACTCGTTGTATTTGGTTTGGTATTATGACGGCGCCTGACTTTGAGAGTCGTGATGATATTATTGAGGAACGTCTTATCAGAATAATTTTCCTTTGTACAACATCGAATTGAACCATAGACAAACTTGGATTTGCGATCCTAGGTATCTAATCTCCTGATCCTGCAGAGAAGAAAAAGAGTGTGGGCGGATTAGTACGAGTGGAGAGAACTTTGAATCAAACAACGACCTTAATGGCCATTTCCCTCTTTCCCTTTTCCACCCCCATGTTCACTTCGGCGAGAGACCTGATATGCATCTTGTCATATGTCAAGTCACCATGGTCATAAGTTTGAATGATTGTATCACAGAAGTTCAGTATAAGTCACAACCAACCATAGAGAAAGATGGTCTCTGAAGCCTTTCCCTATAATTGTTATCTATGTGTTGAATCTGCTCATATTTATATGCCGTTCTTTTTTTCGGCCAACCGATATATCCATGTGTCGTGTTGGATACTTCTAATGTAGTACCAAACAACAGTTAAACTAAATAACCTCTATATGGTTCAATATCATGTGTAAGCTAGATTGACAAAAGTGCTATATTACCAAGTCCATACCTTCAGATTTCGACCCAGCGCTTAAATCAGTAACGTCTCAACATATATGACTGCTCACTTGCATTCACGTATGTACAGTATGTGACAAACGGCTACATGGATAATCTAACCATCAACACCAGGAGCAGAACTGCCGCTGCTACCCCATTTTTGAGTCACAGAAACTGGAGAATGGGTCGACCGCATATACTTCAGTAGCTGGGAATCATCATAATCCGGAGGAGATGGAGCAAGGACACCTTCACCCTTATCCGCATCAACAAATATGTCCGCAGCATTATCATCGCACGCGATCGCCTTCAGTTCCTCCAAAACCTCATCCATGGGAGGCCTCATTTCCTTGTCCAGTTGCAAGCACAGGAAAGCTAACTCGGCCACTGAAGTTGTCATCCTATTGATTTCGCTATCTGACTCAAATCCTAGATTTGGGTCGATCAATTCGCCAAACGCGCATTTCTGAATCTTATTAATAGCAAAGTTGGCCAAATTAATCTCGTGCCTTTCTCTGCTTTTGTCGACAGCTGGCTTGGATGATACAAGCTCGACCAGAACAACTCCGAAGCTATAGATGTCACTCTTCTCCGTGAGCGGGTAGCACTGATGGTACTCGGGGTCCACATAACCTGGAGTCCCTTGAGGAGCTGTTGAGATATGAGAGACATCATCGGGGAAAAGCCTCGAAAGCCCAAAATCTGCAACTTTAACCCCAAAATTCTTGTCGAGGAGGAGGTTATTTGTTTTCACATCACGGTGGACAATGTCAGAAGCATGGAGGTAAGCCAACGCAGTAGCAGTCTCTATGGCTATGTCCATACGGATTTTCCAAGGCAATGTAGTAGAAGAGTTTGCTCGCTGGCCATGGATATGATCAGCAACAGTTCCATTGGAGATGTACTCATAGACAAGTAGAAGCTCACGGCTGTGGCGAGAAGTGCAACCGTACAGAGACACAAGGTTTTTGTGTTGCAAACGGGTTAGGATCTCTACCTCATTCATGAACTGCTTTACCCTCCGGTAGCTGTGCTCGTATAGGCGCTTCACTGCTACTTCCCGTCCATCTCGAAGTTTTCATGTTAAGAATATTGTAGAAAATGTCTTTCAGTTGAGGATCCCTTGGAGGAATAATGAAGGAACATTTTCTCACCGTAGTAAACAGTTCCAAAACCTCCATCTCCAAGTTCATTGGAAGCAGAGAAGTTATTTGTGGCTTCTTCAAGTTCAGCACTGGTGAAAATGGGGACTTCAAAGTAGACACTGCTCTCTTCCATGTCTGAATGCGAATGAGGATATGGGGTGCTATTTCTCAAGTGGAACTTCAAAGAAGCATTCTTCCTTTTTAAGTGGATCATATAAGAGAACAGGACAATGGCCAAGCTTCCGATTCCAATACCTGATGCACGAACAGATAATTAACCCTTTTTATAGGATAATTCTTTTTGTGCTGTTTCCTAGAACGTACGGTTTATGTTGGCTGGAAGCATGGACAGATGGTCAAGCTTTTAGGACAAAGTAAGAAGATTTGGGTCCAGCCGACTTTGATTTGATCAGCATTGTGAAAATGGTTTGCAGTAAAAACCAGAAAGGATACTTCAGCAACAAGGTGATCTTGTTTTTGTTGTTTTATCGTGTCAAACTGGGAGTAGATTGTCCTAGTTATGCTTTGGTTTGTTCAGGTAGGCGGAGGCAATGTGATAGCAGACGAGAAACTAAGAAAAGGAAATTACCTGGTCCTATCTTCCACCACAAACGTCTATTTCCTGCATCAAAGTTGAAAAAGCAGATTGGTCAATAGAGGGAAAGGATGGCAAGATAGCATCTAGCTCATAAATCAGCTTACATACACAGACGATTAGAGAATAATAGGAGGGAGAATAGCCACAGCCAGTACTTTCATCCGAATCGTATTTGATCTAAAATCAATGCACAACCTACCCCAACGTGCATGGCAGAGCTACTTCCAAATACCAAGTGGAGTAACTTATATTTGCCATTCATAAAGAGGTGTGTCAACTACTTGTGCATTTTATTGGCAAACAAGAGTCCTATATATTCATCTTCCTGAAATGAGAAGTCAGTTAAATTGTCATAAGATCTCTATTCTAAAGGTTCTGCAAATTATTCATGAGGTTGCACAAATGCAAAATGATAACTTAGCATGGAAAGAAAACATGTATACCAATTGTGTACTATCCTACTGAAGGAACGCCAAGATGGAAATGTAAACTGATAGAGTGAATGTGAGAAATGCAAATAGAGCTATGGTGTGGGATTTCTATAGTTAAGTGCAATTGTATCCGTTCTCTCAACTAATACTGTTTGGAAAGATGCCTACAATATTTTTAGGATGACAAAACATTTTAAGTGTACTAACATGTGCAATTGAGTGTGAAGAAGATATTAGTAAATTCATATGAAGATGGTGTTAGCAATTGGACATCGAAGAGTGTAGAACGACTTTTGCTCTAGGCGATGAACAAGCTATTGGACGTGAGCTATGTTGATAACTAGATGGACATTGCAAACGGCGAACAAGTTATTAGACAAGGAATATGTCGATGTTCGAAACGACCTTGTGGATGGTGAACAAACTAGAGGACGTGTGATTGGCAAAAAGGTTTGGATGGACTAATAGAAGACGAACAAACCAAACGACATGAAGACGTCAATAAGCTCGGTTGGACCTTGCGAGCCTTGAACAAACTAGAGGGCATGTGGTCGTTGAAGAGTTTCGATAGACCAAATAAAAAGTGTATAGTCTATAGAACACAAGGACGTTAGTATGCTTGAAGGTGCCTAAATGTTGTAGGCAAACAAGCCTAGGTATGTAGAAGCTTAAATGGACCTGATTGTAGAAGGTGTTCTTGCTATGGACAGAGTATTGGTTCTACTAAGAGCCTCTACAATCATGAAGGGAAGATGCGGACTCTTTATCAGTGTTATTTGAATTCAAATTGGTGTTATACAACTTATCTTAAGTATTGGAATCCACAAAAAGTGGACTAAAGAAGATTAAAACAATTTATCATATTTGTGCAGGCAACAGAGGATGACAGGCTGTTGTAGAAGCAGAACTGACTACTTCGGTAAACTCTCTATGGAGCTACAGAGTAAGTACAGTGGCTATAGATGACAGAATCAACAACTACTTGTAGGATTTGAATTCAAAACGGTCATTTGAGATCTCATGACTAAAAATTTAACCCAATGAAGTAGTAGAGTTAAGGGGAAACGAACAAGTGTCGATGCTCTGAGTGTTCATCTTCTTGCTGTTCTTGTGTGTAGAAGCTGTGTAAATCTAGTTGTATTTTTCTATAGAAGTCTAAGCATCTGTAATTAGAGAATAGAGTGTGAAGTTTAGCGAAGCTTGCTTGTATTTGTAGAAGCAGAGCTACAAGTAAAAGAAACATTTTCAAACGCTATAACATTTCAAAGATTACATAGTGAATTTCAACCTTGATTTGGGCTGTTAGAGTTGGGAGAATGGAGCAAGCCAGCTAAATAGGCCAAGTGGATAAGCTGAAGGGAGATGATAAAATTAATAAAGCTCGGCGCGCATCTTCTTCCTAACAGTTATAAAATTTGTATCATCCTAATAACCACATTCTCTTCAGAGAAGAGAATAAATAATGACGAACTTATTGCATGATCCGTTTACTGGTAATTATAAAAACCTTACCGCCGCCACTGTTGCAGTCCCTGGGATTATTGGTTCCATGTGGGCAATAGCACAGAAAGTCTGTGTCTCGTGATCGTCCACATCGGCCTCCACTTTCTCGACAACCAGTACAAATCTTGTTAGTTAATATATCCCATTTTAACTGGAAGCCATTCCCCAACAACTCCTTGTAGTTGACATCTTTGATAGTTTGATTAGAGAACCCTTCCTTCAGTTGTACTGGTACCGCTGACACTGACAGGCAGGAATTATTTTGGCGATAGAAGGTGCTATTTGGAGGTTTTAATGCAACAGAGATGTTGTATGTGGCGTTAGATGTACAACTCACGGGGGATGTTGGGAAGGGAAAAGAAGAAGGGTTGGTGCAGTTATAGAAGAACAAGAGTTTAGGATGAAGAGAAAAACTGTTGTTTAGGAAGATGTTTATGGGAACGAAAATGAAGGGACGAGGAGCAAAGCAAGAAGTATCCCTTTGCCTTACTAATTCGATGGAACTCTCCTCGTAAGAGATGCTTTTAACTGTGTAGGTAGCATACGTAGCTTTTGTTCCTTCACAAGTGATCTCAAATCCACGGTAACCGCATAATTCACGTCCTTCTCCAGGAATATAAAAGGGATAGCTTATGTTCAGACAGTTGCCTTTACAACTGTGGGTTTTGCACACTTCATATGACACTTCATCCAACGACGACTCAACAGGATCTTCTAAGATGGCAATGAAAAAGATGCAGAACGCTGTGCAAACTAAGCCTCGTGTGTAAATGCGGCGTAGACCCATATCTGGATTTCGATATGGTTTTAGTCTGAAGCATACGAAGTTTCTTTTCTTTTTGGATATCAATGCTCTAGAATGGAATGGAACGGCATGAAGAAGAAGAAGAAAAAGAAGGAGGAGAAGAAGTTGTTTGATTCCTCACGTGAAAGTGAAAAGAAAACCCTTGTTATTGGTAATTCCTTCTGCTGGTCTTGTGAGATCAGCTGCTTAAACACGGCAGTTGACTTGGAAAGAGGACGGGAAGACTAGCACAAGAGACTTTTAAGAAGAGCCAGGTCGAGACAGAGACACCCAAGGGAGCGATGTCATCCATCACTTTACCTCTTTGATGATGATAGGTCGGCGAAATGTGAAGACCTGCCATTAGTGAACTCGCACAAATCTTGCCCCGATTGACGAGTTATTGCAAGAGTTGACTCCTATTTTCATATATCCCCTCAAGTTGGATCCTTCACAAGATGATGATGAAAAAAAAAACATAAAAATCCAGAAACTTTTATCCCCTGTTATGCTTATTAAAATGAAACTAAATAAGCTAGATTAGGGAAATAAGTACAAGAAAAAAAATCAGTGGGTCTTTGACAATTAGAGGTCTCTGTTCGAAAATTAATTTTAAAGAAGCAGCAGCAGCAGGAGTTAGTTCCAAGAAAAAGTGGGAAATTCCATAAAAATAAATACCAAGCACAATGAGCATGAACAACAAAAATTGTTGGCCTACCTGAGAAAGTTTCATAAGAGGGTTTTGTTGATACTTAAATTTTAGTCGACAATTCAAGTATTCATTATTCTAAACGTACAAAAATAAAAATAGAAAAATAATAATAAAAATAAATCAATCAAAAAAGTAATTAAATACACAACAAATACAAAAGTGATGACCAAAAAAAGAAAAAAGAAAAAAAAAGCGATAAAAGGAGGTTTTCTTTTTCACTACGGGCTCTGAACTGTTTGAATAAACCTTAGCCCATGAAAACATTTGGATTCGATTTTTGCTATTCATTTAGTGGGAAAAATTACAAAAAAAGTCATAAATATATTGTACTTTTTTCAATTTAGTCTTAAACCTTTCAAATGTATCGATTGAGTCCTAAATCTTTTCACTATTTATCAATTGAGTCTATCCCGTCAGTTTAACTAAAAATCGCTGACGTGGATGTCGGCGCTCACGGGGAAATTTTTATTATTAATTTTTAAATATTTTTTTTTTCGATTTTTTTAATTATTATTGTTATTTTTAAAGCCCGATAGAAAAGGGATTAGGGAAGGTTTTCTTAACGGCCTGATCCGTCGGTCATTTTCGCCATCACCGATTTCTGCGAGCATCAGAAGTGCTCCGTTCCTTTGCCGTGATTGAGAGCTTCGAGCGGTTTCAACTTTCGACCTCCTTCGGAGATGACGCTGACTGCTACCGCTGAGAATTCCCCACACTACCCTCCTGACGTATTAGCCTTCGTCGCCCTCGTTTCTTGGCATTCCGTATTTGTACCTTTTCCTGCTCTGCTTCTCCCTGTTCCACGACCGGGAAATCCGCGGAAGTTATCTCGCGTTTAATCCTTCAATATAACTTCCGACCCTCATTGGTGAAATTTCCGGAACGTCCTTGCTTGGATTTTCTCATCACTGTTCGGAGCTAGAAATCAAGCTTGATAAAGGTGAGTTCATTATTTGTTACTCTCGGTGATAGTTTTAGAATGAAAACAGAGACTGAGACTTCATACATTGTCAATCTAAAATCTGAAATGATCGAGGCCGAGTTGATGATTTAGGTCTCTTTTAGCGCTTATTGCGATGGAATGAAATGAATCGTTACCATAAACTCATGTTTAAACTAAGAAACTAAGTTGCCCACCATATGTTCGACAAAATGCCCGAACTGAGTCCGTATAGATTAGTCCTTGATCCTGACCTGTTTCGAGTGTATAATGATATGTCACGCATGATTGCAACTTTTTGTTGATAGCTAAGCATGATTTTCTGCCGCATTTTATTTTCACCGAGACCAAATCTGAGCAATTTCTTTTTGATTGTGTTTGCTCGGTGTTAATACGTCTTCCTGCGGCGTTCAATGATGGTCATCCAATCGCGTCCCTGTTTTTGTTCTCTGTGTCTGTGGAGGCTGTGGCGGGCGTATGTTAATGACTGTGTGGCTTTATATAATTTCTGTATAGAAATTGGAAACCAAGGAAATTAAAAACATATTGAATTCTACGTGGTCTTGCGGTCCATGTACATTCAGCTGCCTAAGATGCAAATTCATGTTAAGATGCTTTCTGCAATTAATGACATGACTTTATATAACTTCTGTCGGCCTTAGCATTGGTATCATACGTTCAACAATAATAGACGAAAAATTTCTGAAGTACTCTTATCTAACAATCATTGTACACAAGTTGCTCGTTGTATTGAAAGCCTAGATGTGCTTACAGTACAAACTTAAATTTCACACAGCCATGGACATTGAAGTGGTTGGTGATGATCTTGATGGAGAAGACAGATAGGGCTTGGGAGGAACTAGCAAGCAGTCAACACTGCCTCTTAGCATATCCACCACCTCGCTCATTGTTGGCCTAATTGAAGGATTAGTCTGTATGCACCACAAGCTCACTATTATCATCTTCCTTGCTTTCTCTTTGTCTCCTTCGCTTGTGACATTCTGCAGTCCAAACTCTTCTTGAAGTTCAAGACGCTTGTGAATCCAATGCGGGAAGTATATTTCACTGGTTCTCTCTGCTCCGGTCACTACATTTTTCCTCCCACCAACCATTTCAAGCACTGTCATCCCAAAGCTGTACACATCTGATTTTTGGGATATTCCTCCGATGTTCCTGCAAAACACTTCTGGCGCGATAAACCCCGCAGTCCCTCGCGCACCGAATAGTGAGATCGTGCTCTCCTCTCGATGGCATATCTTCGCAAGGCCAAAGTCGGAAATCTTGGGGCAGTAGTTTTCATCGAGAAGGATGTTGTGCGGCTTTATGTCGAAGTGTAATATTCTTGAGTTGCAGCCTTGGTGCAAGTATTCGAGCCCTTGAGCTATGCCTAGGGAGATTTGGTACAAGGTGTCCCATCCGAGGTGGCGGCAACCTACCTTGCTGTAGTTCTCTTCGTATATGAGTTTCTCCAGAGATCCATTGGGCATGTACTCATAGACGAGAGCCCTTTTGGTTTTGTGAAAGCAGAAACCTAGCAGAGTAACAATGTTGACATGGGAAGTTCTGCTCATGCTGTTTACCTCATTGATGAAGTCTTCACCATCTCCTTTCAGCTTGGTTAGGATTTTCACTGCCACGAGATGACCATTTGGGAGCTTCCCTTTGTACACACAACCATAGCCTCCTTGGCCTAGTTTTTCTTTGAATGAGTTGGTCATTCTCTTAATGTCAGCATATGAATATCTTCTCGTTACTAAAATTCCACGATTTTCGAAAAAGACCTCACATTTATGACTCTTTTTCATCTTTCTGCTCCCTGTGATCATGGATTTCTGCTTGGATATTTTCTGTTGACAAAGATAGGCTAGGACTATAATAGCGACACCAAATGCACTGATTGATGCACCTGCGTATCCAAAGGACATACAAAGCATAAATAGAGATAATCCTTTTAATTTTGTAGTCCTAGTTTCATTTAGGGAAAAAGTTACAAAATCCCCAAATTATGCTTGCTGCGACACATTTACCTTGAACTTTTTTTTGTGATATCAAAAACTCTTAACTATATCCACCGTGACATATTTACCATAACTTTTTTTGACATAAAAAATTCAAAATTTGTACCTATGTGACACATTTACCCTTCTCAAAAGGTTCTGTTAGATGATTTTTCAGTTAAAACGTCATATTTATTTCACTTGAGCCATGTGGGCGCAATGTCAATACTGTTTGCTTTGTGGCATCCATGTAGATAGATTTTTTACAATTCTCATTGATAGAACTTTGATGGAGAGTAAATATATTATTCAGGTTAGGGGTGAGCATGGTCCGGGTGGGCGGTTCCCACCCTAGAACCGGGAACCGCCCACTAAGGACCGGTTCCGAAAAATTGAAATCGGGAACTGGCCCGTTGGTTCCTTGGACCCACCCGAGAACCAGACCGCCGGTCCGGTCTGGTTCCCGGGTGGGTCCATGGAACCGGTCCCACTAGCCAAGGACGGAGACGGAAAGACAAAGATGAAGACGAAGATGGAGAGTCGGAGATGGTAAGGTAAGCATCGACCGAGAAGAGTGAGAGTGAGAGTGAGCGTGAGCGTGAGCCGAAAGCGAAAATAGGTGTTTCTCGGCTCAATGTGAGGGTGTGAACGTCGAGCGAGTTAGGTTTAGTTTAGGAACTTAGGATTTTTCTTTTTTAAAAAAATTAAAAATTAAATAAATATATTATATTTATTATTATATTATTGGTCTGGTCCGGGTGGGCGGGCGGGCGGTTCCACACCTAGAACCGGACCGGTACCCATCGGTTCCCAAAAATTGGAATCGGGAACCGGACCAGTTCCCTTAGGAACCAACGGTTATGGTCTGGTTTTGGGCGGTCCTGAGCGGTCCGGACGGTTCCCGGTTTTTTTGCACACCCCTAATTCAGGTACAAGTTTGTGATTTTTGGTGTCACAAATTTTTTTTTAGGGTAAATGTGTTTCGGTGAGAATAATTTAAGGTTGTTGGTGGCTTTTGCCCTTTCATTTAAATACTGGCCAAATGTCTAGATTTGAATTCATAAGCATGCATAACAAATTTAATGTTGTACTTACCAATAGCAACTTTCTTCTCGAAGCTCCTAGCTTTCAATTTCCCTGCAACATAAATGTTGTCAAGTAGAATGCGAAAGCTGACCGGATCTTTGCAATAAAGTCAAGAGCGAGAGATAACGAAGTTACCAGAGAAATAAATCAAGGAATAATAAAGAGGACAAAAGATTTATGTGGTTCAATCCGAGTGCTGGTACCTACCTCACAAGGCGATCGAGCCACAAATAATCGACTAATCAATGGGAAAGTTACAAAGTTGCAATCATTTACATGCTCAAGTATTTTTCAGCTCTAAATTACGCCCAAACTCACATTGTTTAGCCTCACGAAATTTTGCGATAAAATAAATCACGAAAATTTCCTCATGTATAACTTTCTGCACATATTTCACCGTGTTTAGATAGTCTCTCTTTTAACTTGTATTAATCTCCTCTTCGTGTGCTCACCAGAGAGTGTATTCTTTGTACGGAGCTCCTCTCTCTTTTATATTGTGCTCGTCTCCATTGTGCAATTAATAAGAGGAGCTCAATTTTAAGAGAGTTTGACTTTGCAATAGAAGAAGACAAACTACAATTTTCTTATCTTCTATGACAAACGTCAATTGCGGTTGAAAAGGGAGCTCAAATATGTGGCCAAATGAAAGCTCCAACGGGTCCAAAATTAGAGCCATGAAAGGCCAAAAGGAATAAACTCTCTAAGAAATTTTTTGGGATTTTTTCCCTCGTAGAGATGGTAAAACAATTATGACCAACTTGGACAACTCTATCACACTTCCAAAGTCCTTCATACATTACGAACCGATCTACATCCTCTGACTCGAGTCGGATTGTATATACGAGCTTAAACTCAAGATAATTCAACAATTCTCTACCTTAACTCGATGTTTGCATCCAAATAATAGTGCTTATCATACATGCTAACTCTCCTAACGTCCCCGATGGGCACTCATTCTCCACATATGCCAATTAAGTTCCAGCAAAGCTTGAGCTTTGGCAAAGGAACAGATTTCTGCATCATGTCTGCCGAGTTCTCCACTATCGTAGAGGTGGTAAAAAAATTATGACCAACTTGGACGACTCTATCACACTTATGAACTCCTTCATACGTTACAGACCGATGTACATCCTTCGACTCGAGTCGGATAGTATATACGAGCTTAAACTCAAGATAATTTAACAATTCTTCACCTGAACTCGATGTTTGTAGCCAAATAATAGTGCTTATCATCTATTTTTCCAGTGCACCTGGACTAAAAGCATTTGGCGTACTATCCTTGCACAATACGGAATCCTACGGTATATAGGAGGATGGAATAAAGAACTCGAATGGATGATAAGTGCTACCAAAGGCAAGGATTTGGCAGCTAGACTTCTCAAGGTATCTTTCCTAGCGACCATTTATTGCATCTGGATGGAGCGTAATCATCGACGTTTCCAACACAAGTCACATGATGCCCCCATAATCTTGGCTAAAGTTCGTAAACTTGTCAAAGGGCAAGCTTCGCGCTACAAAACTTTCAGACCTTCTAGGGCAAATGTAACATTGGCTAATATATGGAGACTCTCACACTCCATTTTTTAGTGATCATAGTCCTCTTTGTAATGCTGGGGTATGCCCCAAGCTTTTGTAAGTCAACTTATAAATGGTACTTATATTTCACACGAAAAAAAAAAATTAGTGCTTATCATACATGCTAACTCTCCTAACGCCCCTGACGGGCACTCATTCTCCACAGACGCCAATTGAGTTCCAGCAAAGCTTGAACTTTGGTAAAGGAACAGATTTCTACATCATGTCTGCCAGGTTCTCCACTATTGTAGAGGTGGTAAAAAAATTATGACCAACTTGGATGACTCTGTCACACTTATGAACTCCTTCATACATTACGAACCGATCTATATCCTCCGACTCGAGTCGGATTGTATACACGAGCTTAAACTCAAGATAATTTAACAATTTTCTACCTTAACTCGATGTTTGTAGCCAAATAATAGTGCTTATCATCCATGCCAACTCTCCTAACACCCCTGACGGGCACTCATTCTCCACATACGCCAATTGAGTTCCGGCAAAGCTTGAGCTTTGGCAAAGGAACATATTTCTACATCATGTCTGCCGGGTTCTCCACTATCGTCATCTTTTTCACAACTACCTTACCTTTTGCCACAACATCTCGAATGAAATGGTACTCGATGTTGATAGGTTCCATTTGTTCATGATAAATTGGATTCACAGCCAGATATATTACACCTTGGTTTTCACAATGTATGAAAACACTTTTCTGCTCCTATCCAAAGTCCGAGAGCGGAAGACAAGGCAACATCATCCTATAGGATGCCTTCCAACTTAATACACCACCTGCTAAAGTAAACATGTACCCTGCTAAAGATTTGCAATCATCTAAATCACCAGCTTGATTGAAATCCACATACCACTATCATCGCCTTCCTTTTGATACACTACCAACATTTGTTGTCCTCTATAAATATCTAAGGATCCACTTCATTGTTTCCCAATGAGTTTTACTAAAATGCTCAATGCAATGGCTAACGTCTATAGCTTGTGAAATGTCAGGCCTAGTGTATACCATGACGTACATAATATTACCCACTACACTAGAGTAAGAAACACATGACATATGCTCCTCCTCTTCCTCTTTAGTCTGCGGTGATAACTTATTAGAAAGTTTAAAGTAGTTGGTGAAACATATGCTCAACAGATTCAGCTAACTGCATGTTAAAACGTGCTACAATTTTCTCACTATAATTCTTTTGAGACAGACGCAACACTCCTACAGTTTTATCATGCAAAATCTCTATAGATGATATTTTTTTAGTAGCATCTAAATCTTTCATCTCAAAATTACTACTCAACCACCACTTCAACACATCAATATTATGCATATGTTTAATTGCTGTCAACATGTCATCAACATTTAATACAAGATAAATCAAAGACCCATCCTCAAATCTCTTAAAGTAAACACAACTATCCAATTGACTGTTCGAATAGTCCTCACTAGTTGTGAAAACATTAAAACACTCGTACCACTTGCCTAGGAGATTGTTTTGGTCCATATAAAGATTTCTTTAATAAGCAAATAGGATCTTCTTTACTTGGAATAACAAATACCTCTAGTTGCCTCATTTAAGTCCGCTTCTCCAACTCACCGTGAAGAAACATTGTTTTCAAATCTAGCTACTCTAACTCAAGATCTTGTGTAGCAACTAAGGCAAGTAATACTCGAATAGAAGTATGTCTTACGATAGGAGAGAACACCTCATGGTAATCAATATTGTCCTATTAAGTATACCCCTTTCGCAATAAGTCTAGCCTAATACTTTGCTACCTCGATATCAGGAATGTATTCCTTCCGTTTGTAGACCCATTTGCACCTGACAATCTTTTGGCCTTTGGGTATTGACCAGCTCCCATGTTTGATTTTGATCAGTTGATTCCATCTCTTCACTCATGGGTGCTAGCCAGTACGACGACTCAGCACTAGCCATCACTTTATAGTAAGATAAAAGCTCATCTATCTCCACCTCATCACCTACGGTCAATGCATAAGCAATATTAGAATAACCATAATCTACCGGTGATTTAATTTGTCTTCTATGTCTAGCTGAGACTATACTGTGCTGTGGCTATGCGAGTTGTTGTGTATCAACGACTTCACCTCATCTGCAGTCTTAACCTTGGTTATTTATGAGGTCTTCGGAGGCTCCACCTCACTATTTGACATCATGATTTGTTTGCTCAGTTGGTTGTGCCTTAAGACTCCTCTGTTGAAGCATAGCAGTTTGGTCAAAGATTACTTCTTTGCTAACTAGAATACCAAGTGATCTAAGCACAGTGCACCACAGCTGGTAGCTTTTCAACCCATGCATATAACCTAGAAATATGCACACCATCGGCTCAAGTTTACCATTACTCACATGAGCATATGTAGGTTTTCCCAACCATACTTCTTTAAGTGTCTTCCACCTAATAGCATATGATGGAAATCAATTTACCTGGTAACAAATCATGTTCATTACTTCAGCCCAAAATTCCTTACTTAGTCCTGCACTCAAAAGCATTCACTGATCTCACTCCAATAGAGTTTTGTTCTTATGTTCGTGACGCTATTCTACTGTGGGGCATAATCATTATTCTATGTCTCATAATCCCTTGTTTTTGGCAAACTTGGTAAATCATACCATAATGTTATTGTTTCTAAGGCATTTGATATATTTACCTGATTGCTTCTCAATCAATGTATTAAACTTCTTAAACTGATTGAACACATCAGATTTGTGCTTCGGATTATATACCCATATCTTCCTTGAGTGGTCAACGATGAATGTCGGCAGATATCAGGCATCTCCTTTTGAAGGAATAAGAGACGGGCCCTAGATGTCTAAATGAATGTATTCAATCAGTTGCTTGGTTGAAGTTTAATTCGGCTCTACTTTATAAAGATGCAATGCTCACACAATTCTAGCTTCCCTATCTTCTAACCTTTCAGCTACCCCTTCTCACTCAGCATCGTCACACCTGTTTCACTTATATGCCCCAATCGCATATACCATAATCGAGTCAAGTTTGAGTCTAACTTACCTAATGAAACTATTGCAGCTTAGGTCACGGTCCCTCCCAATAGATGATAGTGAGAGTTCACCTTATTCCCTTTCATCACTATTATGGCACTTCGAGAAATATTCGGCACTTGACCTTCGGTAGTGTACTTGCATATGATGTTATTGAGTGTCTCTAGAGAAATATGTTTATTCTTGAGCTTCGATAGATACATTACAACTATCAATGTGTGCTCTACCCCATTATGCATTGCAATCCGAATTGTCCTTATCCCCACAACCTCACGACTACGTTTTCCTCATCGAGTTATGCTACCATCCGGAGTCTCGATAAGGAGTAAATTAGTTTCCATGAGGAGTCATATGATAGGAACACCTTGAATTAAAACCAATTTGTCTCTTGATGAACGATAGTCACACAAGACGACCTCTGCATCACTTGTGCTCTCCTCCGCAACAATTGCCACACTACTTGTGGCATTTTGCCCACCGCCTTCATGTCTCAACTTTGGACAATCTCTTCTTATATGCCCCTCCTTATGACACTCAAAACACTTCACGCGACCCTTGGATTTTCTATGTCGCGACTTCGACCTCCTTTTACCTCTACCGCTAGGCCCCTAATGTGTATCTCTATCATGAATCACTAATCCCCACGCTATGTCCTGCGCTAGACCGTTATCTCACAACTTAATCCGTCACTTCTTAGAGAATAAAGTAGATTTAACCTCTTTTGAGGTAATAGTAGTACCCCTATGTAACAATGAATTAGTAAAGTGCTCCCATGATTTTGGTGGAGCCGCCAATAACATCATGCCTTGGTTTTCGTCAGCTAGAATCTCATCGACATTCTTCAAATCTATCATGAGTTTGTTAAACTCCTTTAGGTGGGTCGTGGTGGAAGTGCCTTTAGCATGTCGAAATTGAAACATCATCTTCAACATGTGTAGGTGATTATTCAAATCATTCGTTACATAGAGAGCCTGAATTTTTGCCCACCAATGTGTGGTATTCCTCTCGTTGGCCACATCTATTAACAACTCATTCAATAGGTTCAACAGGTCTATACTCTTTGCCCTCTCCATGAACTTAGCCTTGCCATCCAACCCAAAGTTGTTAATAGCGCAAGCATCTCAATGCTTTACAACCTAAAGTTGTTACTCCCGTAAAATTTTTCAATTTTTAGTTTCGCTCCATACATAATAGCAAAGTTTCAACTCTAATACCAATTATAGTAAAATCGAGTGCAAAAACTGACTGGATCTTTACAATTAAATCAAGAGTGAGAGAGAACGAAATTGAAAGAGAAATAAAATGATGAACAATAAAGAATAAAAGTGATTTACGTGGCTCGGTCGAAGTGTCAATACCTACTCCACGAAGAGAGCTAGCTAGAATTAACCATCTAATCAATTGGAGAATTACACAATTATAATACTTATACACTCAAGTGTTTCCCAATTCTAAATTACACCCAATCCCACATTATTTAGCCTGACGTAATTTCTGGATAAAATAAATCACGAGAATTGCCTCACAACCAAAATACCTTTATTGTCTAACTCGGCACAAAATCCACGGTGTTTCAAGCGTCTCTCTTAACTTGTGTTAAGCTCCTCTTCGTGCGCTCATCAGAGAGTGTATTCTCTGTTCGGAGATTCTCTCTCTTCTATATTGAGCTCCTCTCTATTGTGCGATTAATAAGAGGGGCTTAACTTGGAGCTCATTTTCAAAGGTTTTGACTTGGCATATGGAGTCATTATTGTGCTAATAAAAGGAGAAATTAAAGCAAGCCCGCATGTTTTACGTTTTTTTCTCTGACAAATCTCAATATCAGCTGAAAAAGGAGCTCAAATATGTGGCCAAATAAAAGCTCCAATGTGTGTCGAAAAGAAGAGTCATGAAAGGCCAAAACAAGCTTGGGTACCTAGAAGCTTAAATGGACATGATTGTAGAAGGTGTTCTGGCTATAGACAGAGTATTGGTTCTACTAAGAGCCTCTACAATCATGAAAGAAAGATGCGTACTCTTTGTCAGTGTAATTTGAATTCAAATTGGTATTATACAACTGATATTAAGTATTGGAATCCACAAAAGGTTTACCATATTTGTGCAGGCAATAAAGGATGACAGGTTGTGGTAGAAGCAGAATTGGATACTTCAGGAAACTCTCTCTATGGAGCTGCAGAGTGAGTTCAACGGCTATAGATGACAGAATCAACTGCTACTTGTAGGATTTGAATTTAAAAGTGTCTTTTGAGATCTCATGGCTATAAATTGAACCCAAGGAAGTAGTAGAGTGAGGGGATAATGAACACGAGTCTATGCTCCGAGTGTTTATCTCCTTGCTGTTCTTGTGTGTAGAAGCTGTGTAAATCTAATTGTATTTTTCTGTAGAAGTTTGAGCATCTGTAATTAGAGAATAGAGTGTGAAGTGTGGTGAAGATGGCTTGTATTTGTAGAAGCAGAGCTACAAGTAAAAGAAACATCTTCAGACGCTATAACATTTCGAGGATTACATAGTGAATTCCAGCCTTGATTTGGGCTGTTAGAGTTGGGAGATTGGAGTAGGCCAGCTAAATAGGCCGTGTGGATAGGCAGAAGGGAGATGATATGATTAATAAAGCTCGGCGTGCATCTTCCTCCCAACAGTTTATAAATTTGTATCATCCTAATAACCACATTTTGTGCAGGGAAGAGAATAATTTATGACGAAGTTATTGCATGAACCGTTAATTCCTAATTCTAAAAACCGTACCGGGGCCACTATTGCAGTCCCAGGGATTAGCTCCATGTGGGCAATAGCACAGGAAGTCTCTGTCTCGTGATCGTCCACATCGGCCACCGCTGTCTTGACAACCAGAACAACTCTTGTTAGTCAATAAATCCCATTTTAACTGGAACCCGTTCTCCAACAGCTCCTTGTAGTCGACATCTTTGATAGTTTGATTAGAGAACCCTCCCCCCAGTTGTACTGGTACCATTGCAAATGACTGGCAGAATCCACTTTGCAGATGGAAAGTGCCATTAGGAAGTAAAGCAACAGAGCCGTTGTATGTGACGTTAGAAGTACAATTCACAGGGGATATTGGGAAGGAAAAAGAAGTGTTGATGCAGTCATAGAAGAACCATAATTGACGAAGAGAATCACTCTTATTTAGGAAGACGTTTACGGGAAGTAAATTGAAGGGAGGAGGAACAAAGCAAGAATTATCCCTTTGGCTTACTAGATGGATGGAACTCTCACTGTAGGAGATGCTTTTAACTGAGAAGGGACCATACATAGTTTTTGTTCCTTCGCACTTGAGCTCAAATCCAGGGTAACCGCATAATTCTCTTCCTTCTTCAGGAATATAAAAGGGATAGCTTATGTTCGGACGGTTGCCTCCACAATTGCGAGATTCGCACACTTCATATGACACTTCATTTGATGACGACTCAACAGGATCTTCTAAGATGGCAATGAAGAAGACGCAGAACGCCGTGCAAACTAAGCCTCGTGTGTAAGTGCAGTATATGCCCATCCCGGAATTTCGATCTGGTTTTAGTTTGGAACATACGAATTTTTTTTTTTTGGATATCAATGCTCTAGAATGGAATGGAACAGCATGAAGAAGAAGAAGAGAAAGAAGAAGAAGAAGCTGTTTGATTCCTCACGTGAAAGTGAAAAGAAGGCCCTTGTTAATGGCAATTCCTTCTGCTGGTCTCGTGAGATCAGCTCTGCTTAAACACGGCAGTCGACTTGGAAAGAGGACGGGAAGACTAGAACAAGAGACTTTTAGGAAGAGCCAGGTCTAGACAGAGACACCCAAGGGAGCAATGCCATCCATCACTTTTACCTCTTTGATGATGATAGGTCGGGGAAATGTGAAGTCCTGCAATTAGTGAACTTCCGCAAATCTTGCCCCGATTGACCAGTTATTCCAAGAGTTGACTCCTATTTTCATGTATCCCCTCAAGTTGGATCCTTCACAAGAGGATAATGAGAAAATAAAAATAAAAACCCAGAAACTTTTATCCCCTGTCATGCTGATTAAAATCAAACCAAATAAGCTAGATTAGGAAAATAAGTTCAAGAAAAAAAGATCAGTGGGTCTTTGACAATTAGAGGTCTCTGTTTGAAAATTAATTTCAAAGAAGTACCAGGAGTTAGTTCTAGGAAACAGTGAGAAATTCCAAAAAAGTAAATACCAAGCACAATGAGCACGGACAGCAAAAATCGTTGGCCTACCCGAGAAAGTTTCTCGAAAGGATTTTGTTGACACCTAAGTTTTAGTCGACAATTCAAATATTCATTCTTCTAAAAGTACAAAAATAAAAAATAGCAAAATAATAATAAAAATAAATCAATAAAAAAATAATTAAATACATAACAAATGAAAAAGTGATGACCAAAACAAGAAAAAAAAATAAGTGATAAAAAGGAGGTTTTCTTTTTCAGTACGGGCTCTTGAACCGTTTGAATGAACGTTAGCCCATTAAAACATTTGGATTCGATTTCTGCTATTTTTTTTTCTGGTCAAATATTTCTGCTATTCATTTAGTGGAGAAAATTACCAAAAAAAATCCAAATTTTATTACACTTTTGCTAATTCAATTTTGAATTTTGTAAATATATCAATTGAGTTTTAATCATTTTCATCTTTTTGTCAATTGAGTACATCTGACCAATTTGGCAAAAAAATTGCTGACGTGAACGTTGGCACTCACGTGGAATTATTATTATTATTAAATTTTAAATGTTTTTTTTCGAATTTTGTAATTATTATTATTATTTTTAAAGCCTGATAGAAAAGAGATAAGGGATGGTTTTCTTAACGGCCTGATCCGTCGGTCATCTTCGCCATCACCGATTTCTGCGAGTATCAGAAATGCGCCGTTCCTTTACAGTGACCGAGAGCTTCGAGCGGTTTCAACCTCGTTCAGAGATTGCTTTCAGATTTCAATTCTGATCATCCTCATCGCCGCTCGTCGCTGCCTGTTACCGCTGAGAATCCCTTCACTGCTCTTCTAACGTTATGCCGTCCTTTCTCGGCATTCCGGATTTGCGCCTTTTCCTGCTCTGCTTCTCCCTGTTCCACGACCGGGAAATTCGCGGAAGTTATCCTCGCGTTTAATCCTTCAATATAACTTCCGACCCTCAGTGGTGACATTTCCAGAACGTCCTCGCTTGGATTTTCTCATCACTGCTCGGAGCTAGGAATCAAGCTTGATAGAGGTGAGTTCAATATCTGTTGCTCCCGGTCATAGTTTTAGAATGAAAACAGAGACTGAGACTTCATACATTGTCAATCTAAAATCTGAAATGATCGAGGCTGAGTTGATGATTTATGTTAGCGCTTACTGTGACGGAATGAAATGAATCGTTTCCCCAAACTCATATATAACTAATCAACTAGCCAGCCCACCGTATGTTCAACAAAATGCCCGAACTGAGTCCTTAGTCCGTTTTGATTAGTCCTTGATCCTGACCTGTTTTGAGTGTATAATGATATGTCACACATGAATGCAACTTTTTGTTGATGGCTAAGCATGTTTTTCTACCGCATATTATATCCACCGAGACCAAATTTGAGCGATTTCTTTATGATTGTGTTTGCTCGGTGTTTACACGTCTTCCTGCGCCGCATATTATATCCACTGAGACCAAAATTGACAGTCCGAGGGTTAATTTTTAAGCTCAATTGTTCCGGTTTGTTCATCACATCCTTTTATCCGATCGTGTCCCTGTTTTTGTTCTCTGCGTCTGGCTGTGGCCGACGTATATTAATGACTCTGTAGTGGACGACGGTGGAGGTTTGATAACAAGTATAGGTAGATTAACGGAGATGAATATATGTTCATGCTTTGATGATTTGGTAGACGGATCTTTGATTGTGTTTTGGGTGTTCTCAAGCACTGTGAGGAAGACGATGAGAAAAAAGAAATAGAAAAGAAAAAAAGAAGAAGAAAAATGCATATTAACAAGTATGAAAAAAGGAAAAAAAACATAAAAAAACTCCAAACCATTCTCAATGCAATACATTTACCCGTTTTTTGTGACATCAAAAACCCTAAACTATGGCTAGTGTAACATATTTATTCCAAACTTTTTCTTTTAACATAAAAAACTTAAAACTTGTACCTATGCGATATATTTACCCTCCGTCAAGGTTTCGTTAAATGATTTTTCAACTAAAATAACGTTTTTATTTCACTTAAATCATGTGGGTGCCATGTCAATACTGTTTGCTTTATAGCGTCCAAGTAGACAGATTTTCAAATGTTCCCATTAAAGGAACTTTGAAGAAAGTTAAATGTGTCAAGAATGTACAAGTTTGGGATTTTTTGTGCCATAGAAAAAATTTATGGTAAATGTGTCATGGTAGGCATAGTTTAGAGTTTTTGGTGATTTTTGTCCTAAAAAAGACTTGGGTAAAAAAAAACTTGGGTGTAACTACAATTGAATCCATAAAAAGGGGGAGATTCCACAAAGAAACACAAGTCATGAAATGAAACAAATAATTATAAAGGGCAGGGAAAGAAAGCAAATGACTATAAGACAAGTTCATGAGTTGCAATAGCAATTGCTCAGTTAGATCATAGGCTGATTGGCCTATAAGCGGCTCTTATATCCATTTGATAAGTCCCTTGAGAAGATGCAAGAACTACTCTCTGAAAAGTCACAGCAATGTTAGCGGTAAGAAGGCAGTGTTTGAGCCAGTGAGTATGTCAATTGAAGTTTTCAATCCGATACCCTCACATAGAGCTTATTTGGTGTGAAATGCAGTTACGTACGTCTGCTGATATTGTCAAGCAATGCCACTAGCTGATCACATGCTGAAGAGAATGTGCCTAAAGAGAAGAAGAGTATAGTACTATAGTAGCAGTGGAGTAATAACCAGACTAGAGTCTGGCCAAATGTATAGAGAATCCCTTTTGCCTGTGATTAAGACTACTAGCACTAGCCATTAATCTATATCCAGTTAGGCCATTGTCTTATATTTGTGTCCCTTGCATGGATGTTTGGGGGTTCAATTTGTGCCAAAAATCTAAGGGCTGTTAAGAGAAAGCCAAAAGTTTTGTTCCGTTTTGGATAGGACTCGTGTCCTCCTATCCAAGCCTGCCCTACCAATAGAGAACCAATTGTATCTGCGTCCTCACTGGGCTGCACATGACTTTATGCATGGTCTATCCGAATGGCTCACAGGACGACAATCGCTAGAAGAGAATACGGAAAATTCTTGAAGATGTCTCATTGAGGATATTTGCAAGGAAAGGTTGCGGTTGCGGCTAGTGGCATTTTGATCTAATGATTGCATTGAAACTATTAGCGATGAGTATTCTCCTTTCTAGGTACTCAATTCCTGCGAAAACCCCAAAATTACATGGGCAAGTTAAAATTGAGATTATCAATTAACCGGAGAGAACAATATTGTTCCCTTCAAGTAAAGGATTCTAACCAATTGAAATGAATTGACGGATAAGTCACCCTTATTGCCACTCTCCAAGTTTCCCCTCCAAAAATTTTCTCCAGCCTGTTTCAATTAAGGGGTTAATGGAAAGAACATTCAGTTCTACCTACTATTGGACCCTCTATTCATTAGTATCTTTATTTTGATTACCACTCGTATTTGGTTTGGTATTATGACCGCGCTTGACTTTGAGAGTCGTGATGATATTATTGAGGAACGTCTTATCAGAATAATTTTCCTTTGTACAACATCGAATTGAACCATAGACAAACTTGGATTTGCGATCCTAGGTATCTAATCTCCTGATCCTGCAGAGAAGAAAAAGAGTGTGGGCGGATTAGTACGAGTGGAGAGAACTTTGAATCAAACAACGACCTTAATGGCCATTTCCCTCTTTCCCTTTTCCACCCCCATGTTCACATGTTCACTTCGGCGAGAGACCTGATATGCATCTTGTCATATGTCAAGTCACCATGGTCATAAGTTTGAATGATTGTATCACAGAAGTTCAGTATAAGTCACAACCAACCATAGAGAAAGATGGTCTCTGAAGCCTTTCCCTATAATTGTTATCTATGTGTTGAATCTGCTCATATTTATATGCCGTTCTTTTTTTCGGCCAACCGATATATCCATGTGTCGTGTTGGATACTTCTAATGTAGTACCAAACAACAGTTAAACTAAATAACCTCTATATGGTTCAATATCATGTGTAAGCTAGATTGACAAAAGTGCTATATTACCATGTCCATACCTTCAGATTTCGACCCAGCGCTTAAATCAGTAACGTCTCAACATATATGACTGCTCACTTGCATTCACGTATGTACAGTATGTGACAAACGGCTACATGGATAATCTAACCATCAACACCAGGAGCAGAACTGCCGCTGCTACCCCATTTTTGAGTCACAGAAACTGGAGAATGGGTCGACCGCATATACTTCAGTAGCTGGGAATCATCATAATCCGGAGGAGATGGAGCAAGGACACCTTCACCCTTATCCGCATCAACAAATATGTCCGCAGCATTATCATCGCACGCGATCGCCTTCAGTTCCTCCAAAAC